ATTTATCTAAAAGAACTGAAAACACAAATTTGAAGAAAAATATGTACTTCCATGCACACTGAAGGGTTATTTACAACAGCCAAGACCTGGAAAAAACACGAATCCATTGATGGATGAATGGATAGAAAGAATATGGTACACATATACAGTGCAATATTATCCAGCTAAAGAAAAGAAGAAATCCTGGCCCTTACACCAGCATGGAAAGACCCTGAAGGCATTATGTTAAGTGAAATAAGCCAGACAGAAAGAGAAATACCCTATGATGTCATCTGTGTGTGGACTCTGAAAAAACAAAAACCCCAGACTCACAGAAATGGAGAACAGATTGGTGGTTGCCAGAAGCGGGGTTGTGGCGGGGGGCGGGGGGGGGGGGGTTCCTGGGGGGGGGGGTACAATTTGCAAAACAGGTAAAGGGCATCAAAAGACACGAATTTCCAGTTATAAAATAATTCCTGGGGATCTAATGTACAGCATGGTGAATATAAGAATACTGTTTTGTATATTCAAAAGTAGCTGAGAATAAATCTTAATTTTCATCACAAGAAAAATCTGTGATGGGTGTTAACCACACTTACTGTGATCATTTTGTAATATATACATACAATTACAATGTTGTACACCTGAAACTAGGAAGTTACATGTCAATTATATCTAAATTTTATTTTATTTTATTTTAAATATTTTATTTATTTATTTGACAGAAAGAGATCACAAGTAGGCAGAGAGGCGGGCGGTGGGGTGGGGGGGAGCAGGCCCCCTGCTGAGCAGAGAGCCCAATGCGGGACTTGATCCCAGGACCCTGAGATCATGACCTGAGCCTAAGGCAGAGGCTTAACCCACTGAGCCACTCAGGTGCCCAATTATATCTAAATTTTAAAAAGTATATGAATTGTGATCATATTTGGGTAAACTGTATATACATGTTCATTCATACAGACATATAGTTAGAATCATGAAAGAGCTTCATTAAAATATTTGTATTTGTGGGGTGCCTGGATGGCTCAGTTGGTTAAGTGTCCAACTCTTGATTTCAGCTCAGGTCATGATCTCAGGGTCGTGGGGTTGAGCCCAGGATCAGGTTCAACACTCAGTGGGGTGTCTGCTTCTCTCATTCTCTTTCTGCCCCCCTCCCCAGCATGTGTGTTCTCTTTTAAATGAATCTTTTAAAAAATAAATATTTGTATTTGTTATCTCAGATAAAATATTTTAGGGAATGACATTTTAACTCAAATTTGTAACTTTTGTGTTTTTAGCATAGAAAAAAAAACCATGGAAATCAAATTACTGAAAATACAATAAACACAAGCCTAGTTACAACACAAAAAACACTGACAAACACCCTCTCCTAGTCCAAACTCTAGCCAGACTGCTCTAAGCCTCTTCTCACCCAGCCCCAACCTTGGCCTATAAAAGACCCAAACCAACACTAGACTGGTTTCCAGCAGCTGAAGGCCACAGCCCGCCAAGATGACCCTCAGTCCCATTTCACATGCCTGTAGGAGAAACTCAAGTCCGCCCCTTTGTGCCAGTCAGTACCTGGAGGTACAACATTTGTACAGGTTTCACATGGGCCAAACCCCTTGTTTCCACTTTTCGCAATTTTTCACTTCCCTTGGTCTACCGCCCCACCCCCACATTCTCCCTGTAAAATGCCAGCCACCCCAGCACAAATCAAAGTTGATTTCCGTTCACCCTGGGCTCTTCTTCCCTATTGCAATAGTTACTACTGACCAAAATACGTCCTCGCCCCTTTAACTAGTGTCCAGCTTGGTTTATCTTTCACGATACACACGTAGTTACTCAGTAAGTATACTGCTTATTAGCGGGGCGCCTGGGTGGCTCAGTCAGTTAAGCGTCTGCCTTCAGCTCAGGTCATGATCCCCGCGTCCTGGCATCCAGCCCCATGTCAGACTCCCTGCTCAGCAGGGAGCCTGCTTCTCTGCCCCCCATCCCCCATGCTAACTCAAATGAAAACTTTTTGAAAGTACTGCATATTAGAAATTACTTATGAAAAAATGAAATGTGTATTTTTTCATCCCCATTAACTTGCAAAGTGTGGTATATAGTCTCATGCATTGATTCACTGGGATTCCACGTAGCCAGTCAGGAATTTGACAGGACAACAAAGTCACTACTTAGCTGGGGCAATGCAGTTCAAGCTTTTTGAGAGCCCTGAAAGATAAACATTTGGCTTTCATCTTTATTTATGGTAGATTTTTTTTTTTTCTGGGCAGAAATTTAAATTTTTTATGTAGTTTCTTCCTTGACCTAAGAGAAACATCTTCCAGAATTCTAAAATTTCTTTTCGCAGGAGTAGGACATGGCAACCTGAGATTAAAGTCTTACCATAAGCTTGTTCTACCCTGGCCCTACCCAGCCCCACAGTTCACTAAACAGCAAGCAGAGCTCTCTTTTCGAAGTGCAGAACTATTTCTGTCACTTACCTGCTTAAAACCCTTAAATTATTTCCCACTATTCTCAGGACAAATTCCCAGGTCCTCACGATGCCTCTAAGGCACTTTCTCTCCCTGCATGTGTCTTGTTCTGCTCATCACAGCAAGTTTCTATTCCTGGAACACACCCATCTCTGGCTTCTCCAGGCTTCTTCTGTACCAGCAGGTATCCTACTGGAAATGCTTTTTCTCTGTCAGTTGTCAACTTCTCATATTTCAGGTTTCAACTCCAATGTCACCTTCCCAGAGAGGTTTTGCCTAAAAAGACCTGTCAGCACTTTGACTCCCTATCATATTACCTCACAAACCTTTCTATAAGGTGGAATTATCTTAATTGTTTGCATATTGGTAAATTCCCAACTTGAATGCCAGTCTCTTGAGAGAGAGAATCTTGTGGTGGTGTGCCGCCAAACGCTTCAACAACAGCCTTTCCCCAAAAAAGTCCCACTGCTACCAGGTGCCAATGTCCAGGGTCCAAATACTACCACTACGGGTAATTTCATGATCTGATGGGACATCAACCAGACCGCAGAACTGCTTGAAAATTTAGAAGTTCATTTTCACAAGCCAGTGCAGGCCAGCTCCCACCCACCCCTGGAACCTCGTCTGGCTTCTTTATAGACACCAAAAAATGGAACTAGAACAATCCAGCCACAGAGTAAGTGGGCAACAAATGGTGACTGAAGGTTGAATTGGAATAAAAGAATTCTCAATTCTATGCCATCAGATACTGTAGCTTGGTGGAGTCGCGTGTGTGTGTGTGTGTGTGTGTGTGTGTGTGTGTGTGTGTGTGTTTTCCAACCGCCAAACTGTATGTAGATTTGCAGGCAAGTACTTTGAAGTCAACTTGTTAAACGGGTCATTATAATAAGTTCCTAAATAAAGGGCAAAAAGAGGAGGAGGAGGAGGAGGAGAAGGAAGGGGAAGAAGGTTGAGAAGGGAAGGAGGAAGAGGAAGAATTAAGTGAAAGTAAAGCTTCTCTCCCACTTGTTATTCTCCCTGTGGATGGCCTGGCCTGAAGGCAGTCCACAGGCCAGTCTCAGCAGGTTTGCTCTGAGTATTGTTGGAACGACCCTGGTGGTCCCATACTCAGCCTCAGTCTCTGGGTAGAATCCAGCAGTCTTCTCGTTATCAAGTTACACCTGGTAATTCTGATACGCGCTCAAGTTTGAGAAGCCCATCCAAAGGAAGGCGGAGGGACGGATTATCAGCTCCCAAGAGTGACGCCAAGGCCTTCCTCTCTGCCTGGAGCAACTCACCCCACGCCAACCCCAAGCAGATATCCTAGGAGTGAACAGATCTGGGATTCTGACCTCCCATCCAAACCCATCAAGAAAGCAAAACATCCCAATTGCACCGTGTTCAAAATACTGGATTTAAAAAATGTATTTTTGTTTTTGAGAGATATTTATTTGAAACATTTAGCATTTGGCCTTCATTATTAGTGATCATTGCTATTAGGTAACATTTATTCAGTGTTTACTATGTGACCAAAGTTGGGCTTAGTGTTTTCCATGTATTAATACTCAGAACAAACCTATGTGGTGGGTGCTGTTTTGATCTTTATTTTACAGATGAAGGGACATTGAGAGAGGAGCGATTTAACTATAAAAGGTTGCGACTCCCTGGCCATAGGAGGCTAAAGCAGGTCAGAGCCTATGGACCCAGAAGACCTAGACACAGTTAGTGATCTTTCCCGATCCACAAAGCCACAAAAAGTTGTGTGGCCTCTAGGGAAAATACCCACGAATACCCAAAAGACAGGTTTCAAGTGGCTGAAAAACAGAGAGATGCAATTTCTACTTAAAGCTCAGAAAATAAGCTAGACCAGAGCTGGGTCATCCAGAAACAGGATTCATATCTTACTTCTGCTTTTACCACTGTGTTTTTTTCTGAAAATGGTGAAAGCAGTACAAAAAAAAAAAAAAAAAACCCAAAAACAACTTTGAAAATCACTAGACAAAAGCTGCCCTCGTTTTTCCTTAAGGTGAGGGGGAAAACATTCCCCAAATAGTTAAAAACAATTGAATAACAGCCTAGTGGGGGCAAAATGTGTTAAGTTATAGGAAATGCACGTGACAGTCTGTCTGCTTGGCCCACAAAACCTTCCTTTGAAAACTGCATTTCCCCAGCTGCATTTGCAGATAACCTTGACCCTAGCATTAGACGGCCCCTCCCTGCCTTTCCATGCTGTGCTTCTTGATTGTACCCCTGGACAGGGTCGGGTTCAAACCCACTCATATGCAATTGCTCAAGCTTCTCATGTCCTCCATTTCTTTTCCATCCTCCTGCAACAATGCCCAACAAAATCCAAATCGTGCACGCAATGACATACATGCTATTGACCAACTACAAGGCTGGAAACACTTACTTAGCCTCTTTCCCTACCCAAATTCACCCAACAATGGGAAAACAACCTCTCAAGAATACTCGTGATGTCAACAGAAATTCCCTGCTTAAAGCTTTCACTTGAAAGAACCCGGTGTCCCGCTTTTCCCATCTCCTTTAGACTTACCCCCCGCTACAGAGACTCCCGGGCTGTACCTGGGATATAAACGGTGCCACCATTGCTCCAATCCGACATAGGGAGCCACTGGTCCCCATCCCCAAAGCGCGCATCATCGTGGGGTAGACCTGGAGGGAGGAGCATAGGAAGCATCGGTTAGCTTGGGCTCCTGCTTTCCTGAGTCCCCTGCCCTTCCTCCCCCAGCCAGGCTTCTGTATACAGCAAATACCAGTTGTTCTCTACAGGTGTGTAGGCTATGAAATATAGGACATTCGTGTTCTCAGGCACCACAACACTGAATTTTTAAGTATCAGAAAAATAAACACTTAGAAATGAGCCTTTAAATGACCAAATTCCAAAATATGTTTTCTTTAATTTTTTCTTTTTAAAGATTTTATTTATTTACTTGACAGAGATCACAAGTAGGCAGAGAGGCAGGCAGAGAGCAGGGGGCGGGGGGGGGGGGGGAGCAAGCTCCCTGCAGAGCAGAGAGCCCAATGTGGGGATCCATCCCTTAACCTGGGACCATGACCTTAGCCCAAAGCAGAGGTTTTAACCCACTGAGCCACCCAGGCACCCCTGCAAAATGTGTTTAATTGAATATTCCAAGTATAATTTCAAACAGTTAAGCTCTGGTATCAAACAGAAGACTTCCACTTTAGAGCTATAAATGTATAAAGTAGTCCTACTGAAAGTAAAGAAAGTCCTCCCATAGGGGCACCTGGGTGGCTCAGTCGGTTAAACATCTGCCTTCTGCTCAGGTCATGATCCCAGGGTCCTGGGATCGAGTCCCATATTGGGCTCCTTGCTCAGCGGGAAGTCTGCTTCTCCCTCTGCCTGTTGCTCCTTCTGTTTGTGCGCTCTCTCTGACAAATAAAATCTTCAAATAAACAAACAAATATAAATAAATAAAATGGAATTTTATGGCATAATCTACCTTTTAAAAAAGATTTTATTCGAAAGAGAGAGAGACAGCATGAGCTGGGGGCCAGTGGACAGAGAGAGAGGGAGAAGCAGGCTCCCTGCTGAGCAGGGAGATGGACATGGGGGCTGGGATCCCAGGATCCTGAGATCATGACATGAGCCAAAGGCAGACGCTTAACTCAATGAGCCACCCAGGTGCCCCCCATAATCTACTTTCTAAGTACAACTTTCTTACACTTACTATAAGACTTCTTTGATCTGTACTTCCTTAATTCTAAATTCTTCTAGGAACTGGCAGAAGTTTAATAAGTAAGCAAATAGTACTTAACAATTTATAGGGAGAACGCTTTATGAAAGTATGGTTTTTCAAAACTCGAGAATTCTCTTGAAGCTCTACAATACCCATAATTTTTAATCCATTCACTAAAGCAAAGCACATTGCCTCTTTACTTGGTCACATTTTATTAAGCACCATTTGTCCAGTGTAAAGTCAAGAAGCTGTCTGACATCAGCAGACATTGTTGTATTTTTATAAGAAGGTCTGGGAGCGGAATGTCTTTTTCGGGAGTTTTTTTTTTTCTTTTTCTGGAAAATGAGACTGCTAGCTATAACTGAGAACAATGGATTCAGACACATAGTGGTGATATCAGAGCAAAGAAAGTAAGTCCTCTGAGTGGAGTAAGAGAAGACAATCATCTTTAGGTACACGCCTTTGATTTTTTTTAGACAATTAGTATCAAAAAATTTACTTAGAAATGACCTTTTAAATGAATTTATTCCAAAATATGTTAAGTTGGATATTTCAAATGTAACTTCAGAAGCAGACTGGATTACACAGATCAACTATGTCAATTCCTATTTTTATCACTATGGGGAGAAAAGAATATTTTTCTCTGTGGCTTTAATGATTTGCACAGGCCCTATCTGTAAGCTGAACAGATTTCAGTTTCCTGAGATGAAAACAAATGCAGTCTCCCCCCTGCGCTCTGCTGGGATTGCCCTCCTTGGGCAAGTGTGCCTCTGGCCCAGCACAGTGGGACCCTTCCAGAGAGACCAGTGGAAACCGCCAACCACACCACATCTCCTGACCAGGGAGTTCTGCGGGGCTTCAGTTCTAGTGGAAATAGCCTCAGGTCTCATCTGACAGGCAGATCGGAGCACACCCAGTTAAAACTCACCACGTCCTGGTCAAGGACCAAACACTGCCCACTGCAGGCATGGAGCCTCTGCAGGCGACTGGCCTGAGGGACAGAGTAGTCAGAACACAGCAGCAGAGTACACGCAGCACACACCAGAGACACTCCCTGAAGCCCCAAGCCCTGGATACCATAGAACCACTTCCTCACAAAGTCATTACTCTCAGGAGTAGGAAACCCAACAGGCTCATCTAACACAGAAGACGGAGAGTGCTAAGATGGAGGAATTCCTCCCAAATGAAACAAGTTAAGCTCAGGGCCACAAATCTAAGTGGAACAGAGATAAGTGACATGCCTGATGGAGAATTTGAAGCAACAATTTGTAAGGATACTCGCTGGGCTTTAGAAAAGAATGGAAGACTTCAGGGAGCCCCTTACCACAGGGATGAAAGAGTTGAAGAATCAGTCAGAAATGAAAAATGCTGTAACTGATAATGAAACAGACCAAATGCACTGAGGGCTGGAGAAGCAGAGGAATGAGTAAGTGACACAGAAGATGAAAGAGAAAACAATGAAGCTGAACAAAAGAGAAAAAGAAGGGATGCCTGGGTGGCTCAGTCAGTTAAGCAGCTGCCTTCAGCTCAGGTCATGATTGCAGGGTCCTGGGATCGAGCCCCATGTCAGGCTCCCTGCTCAGTGAGGGAGCCTGCTTCTCCCTCTCCCTCTGCCTGCTGCTCTGCCTGCTTTTTGGTCTCTCTCCATCTCTCTAATAAATAAATAAATCTTAAAAAAAAGAGAGAGAGAGAGAGACAGAAAGAAGAATTATGGATGAGAACAGACTTAGGAAACTCAGTGACTCCATCAAATGTAATTACATCAATATCCTATGAGTTCCAGAAGAGGAAGAGAAAGAAGGGGGTTGGTGTGTGTGTGAAAATTTACTTCAGGAATTAATCGCTGAAAGCTTCCCAAATCTGAGGAAGGAAATAGGCATCCGGATCCAGGAGGCACAGAGAACTCCCATCAAAATCAAGAGCAGGCCAACACTAAGGCATATTGTAGTTAAATTTGCAAATACAGAGATCAAGGAAAAATCCTAAAAGCAGCAACACAAAAGAAGTCCCTAACTTACAAGGGAAAACCCATAAATCTAGCTGCAGATTGCTCAACAGAAACTTGGCAGGCCAGAAGAGAGTGGCATGATATATTCAAAGTGCTGAGTGGGGAAAATCTGCAGCCTAGAATATTCTCCATCCAGCATGGCTGTCATTCAGAATAGAAAGAGAGAGAAAGCGTTTCCCAAACAAACAAAAACTGAAGAAGTTCATGACCACTAAGCCAGTCCTGCAAGCAATGCTGAAAGGGACTCTGAGTGGAGAGACCAAAAGCAACAAGGAAAAGAACAGAGAAAAACTGCAGATGCAAACACAAAATAATAAAATGGCACTAAACATGTATCAAAAATTACCCTGAATGTAAATGGACTAAATGTTCCAGTCAAGAGACACAGGGTGTCAGAATGGATACGAAAACAAGAGCCATCTATATGTGCCCATAAGAGACATATGTTAGACCTAAAGACACCTACAGATTGAAAGTGAGGGATGGAGAAACATTTATCATGCAAATGAGTGTCACAAGAAGGTTGGAGTAACAATAAGTCAGGCAAACTAGATTTTAAACCAGACTGTAATGACAGATGAAGGGCATTCTGTCATAATAAAGAGATCTAACCAACAGGAAGATCTAACAATTGTAAATATTTTTGCACCCAAAGTGGGAACACCCAAATATATAAAACAATTACAAACAAAGGAGGAGCTCACTGATGATAATGTGGCAACAGCAGGGGATGTTAACACCCCACTTACATGAAAGGACACAGCATCTAAGAAGAAAATCAACAAGGAAACTTTGGCTTTGAATGACACACTGGACCAGATGGACTTAACAGATACATTCAGAACATTCCATCCTAAAGCAGAATACACACTTTTTTTCAAGTGCACAAAGAATCTTCTCCAGAATAGATCACATTCTACGTCACAGTGAGGCCTCAACAAATACAAAAAGATTGAGACCATACAATGCATATTTTCTGATCCCAACTCTATGAAACTTGAAGTCAACCACAGAAAAAAATTGGAAATACCATGAATATGTGGAGGTTAAACAACATGTTAGTAAACAATGAATGGGTCAAACAGGAAATCAAAGAAGAAATTAAAAAATACATGGAAACAAATGAAAGTGAAAACACAATGGCCAAAACCTTTGGGATGCAGCAAAAATGATCCTAAGAGGGAAGTACACAGCAGTACAGACCCACCTCAAGCAATAAGAAAAATCTCAAATAAACAACCTAACCTTATATCTAAAGGAGCTAGGAAAAGAAAAATGCGGCAAGCAGAAGGAAGGAAATAATAAAGATAAGAGCAGAAATAAATGATAAACTAGAAAAAAAAATAGAACAGATCAATGAAACTAGCAGCTGGTTCTTTGAAAAACAAAATTGATACAACCCTAGAGCCAGACTTATCAGAAAGAAAAGACCCAAATAAATAAAATCACAAATGAGAAAGAAGTAACAACCAACATCACAGAAGTATAAACAATTACAAGAGAATTAAAACTACGAAAACCAAAGAGGAAGAAACAGAAAACTTGAACAGGCCAATAGTCAGCAAATACATTGAATAAGTAATTGACTATCACCCAACAAGGCAAAGTCCAGGGCCAGATGGCTTCACAGGTGAATTCTACCAACACTTAAAAAAGAGTTAAGGGGTGCCTAGGTGGCTCAGTGGGTTAAGCCTCTGCCTTCAGCTCAAGTCATGATCCCAGAGTCCTGGGATCCAGCCCCGAATTGCATTGGGCTCTCTGCTCAGCAGGGAACCTGCTTCCCTCTCTCTCTCTCTGCCTGCCTCTCTGCCTACTTGTGATCTCTCTCTGTCAAGTAAATAAATACTTTAAAAATAAATAAATAGATAATAAAGAAGAGTTAATACCCATTCTTCTCAAACTATTCCAAAAAAAGCAATAGAAGGAAAACTTCCAAATTCATTCCATAAGGCCAGCATTATCCTGACAGCAAAAGCAGATAAAGACTCCACTAAATAACAAAACTACAGACCAATATCCCTGCTGAACATGGGAGCAAAAATTCTCAATAATGTACTAGCAAATGGAATCCAACAGTACATTAAAAGAACCATCCACCACTATCAAGTAGGATTTATTCCTGGGCTGCAAGGGTGGTTCAGCAATTGCCCATCAGTCAGAAGGATACACACATCACATTAGTAGAAGAATAAGAACCACATGATCTTTCAACATCTATTCATGATAAAAACCCGCAACAAAGCAGGGTTAGCGGGAACATACCTCAATATAATAAAGGCCATATATGAAAAACCCATGGCTAGTATCGTTCTCAATGAAGACAACTGAGAGTGTATCCTCTATAATCAGGAAAAAGACAGGAATATCCACTCTCACCACTATTATTTAACACAGTACTGGAAGTCCTAGCCTCAGCAATCAGACAACAAAAGGAAATAAAAGACATCCAAATGGGCAAGGAAGAAGTCAAACTTTCACTATTTGCAGATGACAAAATAGTCTTTATAAAAAACCCAAATACTCCACCTAAAAATTGCTGGAACTGATACACAATTTCATAAAGTGGTAGGATTAAAAAAAAATCTGTTGCATTTCTATACACCAATAATGAAGCAGCAGAAAGAGAAATCAAGAAATTGACCCCATTTCCAATTGTGCCAAAAAGCATTAGATACCTAGTAATAAACCTAACCAAAGAGATGAAAGACCTGTACTCTGAAAACTATAAAACGCTGGTCAACAAAATTGAAGATGACACAGAGAAATGGAAAAATATTCCATGCTCATGGAGTGGAAGAACTCCATGTTCTCCATTAATATTGTAAAAATGCCTATATTACCCAAAGCAATCTACACATTTAATGCAATCCTTATTAAAATACCACTGGTATTTTTCACAGAGCTAGATGAAATAATCCTAAAATTTGTATGGAACCACAAAAGATCCTAAGTCACCAAAGCAATCTTGAAAAAGAAAAGCAAAGCTGGAGGCATCCCAATTCTGGACTTCAAGCTCTATTACAAAGCTGTAGTGCTCAAGACAGTATGATCCTGGCACCAAAAAAAAGACACATAGATCAAAGGAACAGAATAGAGAGCCCAGAAATGAACCCACAACTGTATGATCAATTAATCCTTGACAAAGCAGGAGGGAATATACAATGGAATAAAAGATCATCTCTTCCACAAATGGTGTTGGGAAAACTGGACAGCGACATGCAGAATGAAAATGGGACCGCTTTCTTACACCATACACAAAAATAAATTCACAATGGGTGCAAGCTATTGGGACTACATCAAAATGCAAAGCTTCTGCACAGCAAAGGAAGCAATCAATCAAACTAAAAGGCAGTCTTCAGAATGGGAGAAGAAGGGTGCCTGGGTGGCTCAGTGTGTTAAAGCCTCTGCCTTTGGCTCAGGTCATGGTCCCCGGGTCCTGGGATCGAACCCCGCATCGGGCTCTCTGCTCGGCGGGGAGCCTGCTTCCCTCTCTCTCTCTCTCTCTGCTTGCCTGCCTACCTGTGATCTCTGTCTGTCAAATAAATAAATAAAATCTTTTTTTAAAAAAGTAACATTAAAGAATGGGAGAAGATACTTGCTAATGACATACCTGATAAAGAGTTAGTAATCCAAAAGATATGAGGAATTTTTGAAACTCAACACCCAAACCAAAATAATCCAGTTAAAAAATGGGCAGAAGAATAGATATTTTTCCAAAGACATACAGTTGGCCAACAGATACATGAAAAGATGCTCACCGACATTCATGAGTGAAACTCAAATCATAACCACAATGAGATCCCCACCGCACACCTGTCAAAATGTCTAAAATTAACAACACAGGAAACAACAGGTGTTGGGGAGGATGTGGGGAAAGAGGAACCCTCCTACACTGTTGGTGGGAAGGCACACTGATACAGCCATTCTGGAAAACAGTATGGAGGTTCCTCAAAAAGTTAAAAAGAGAGCTACCCTATGACCCAGCAATTGCTCTACTAGATATTAACCCAAAGATACAAAAATACTAATTTGAAGGGGCACCTGCATCCCAATGTTTATAGCAGCCATGTCCATAATAGCCAAACAATGGAAAGAGCCCAAATGTCCAGCACCTAATGAATAAAGAAGATGTGGTCTGGATCTACAATGGACTATCATTCAGCCAACAAGAAGAATGCAATCTTGACATGGATGGAGCTATAAAGAAAATTACACTCGGTGAAATCAAAGTAGCTTGCCTTGCATGTCTTGGGAGTAACCAACCCACAACTGACCTCAGCAGTGTAAATGTAGATGGTGTTGAAGTTGGCTGCCACCAAAGCCCTCAGCATGAAGAGGAAGCCAATCAGGCCAGCGCTAGGGAACAAGATGCCAGAGAAGTTAGAAAAGGCAGCATGGAGGGCTTTCCATGGCCTTGACAGGTGCTCACATCACACAGCTTAGCATTACAGATGCTAATACACGCCCACAGATAACCATGTCCTAGAGAGGTGCTGCTCCTCTCCTGGCCTGACTGTGGGGTCCTAAAGTAAATGCTGGACCCCAACCTTCAACCCAACTCCCTATCTGTCCTTCCCACCCCCCAAGTGTGCCGTTCCAACCTGGGGCCCCAGATGAGCACCCCTTCTGCTACCACCCAATTTGGGAAATGATGTGGTTTGCAGAATGATAGAGATTACAACTGAGGACATTCTAGGATTGCAAATTGAGAGTGAAACGAATTTTTACCCCACAGGTAGGTTACCTGTTTCCCTGAGCCATCATAACAATGGTCCAGATAATTTGAAAACAACTAGAGTCCTGAGGTTCCACGAAGGTTGGCATAAAGACCCTAATATCTCAGTGGGTGGAATGACTGCGCCTGCACTTGCGCCTGTACCCTGGGAGTGCAGAGGCGGGGCCGGGTCAGTAGAAGGGGAGTGGTGGGTACCAGGGAAGACCATTCCAGTCAAACCAGGAGGAGCGCATTCACTACTCCCCAGGTCAAAGGGGTTTGCCCTGATGCCCAATGAACGCTATGGGTCAGGAAACCACAACTTAAACCCACCACACAAACCTAGATTATTTTCAAGCAATCAGAGAGAAAAATACCTTGATGTGCAAATATTGAGGAGAAGGAAGAATAAGGCTGTGCATCCCATGGTGACAGAAAGGCTCAGCCGCCTTCCCAGGAAATTAATGCCCAGGATGTTGAGAGGATTCACTAAAAAACAAATGACAGTGACAATTTCTGAAACCTCGAAAGCAAGTGGCATTTACCAAGGATTCCCCATTGTCATTTCAGAAAGAGGCAACTTCATCCAGACCTCATGTGTGTTCCAGCCCAAATCCAGTCCCATGGTCATCCATCTCCTGACTCCTTCGCCAGGCTTTTCCTCATGGGTCCAAGAAGGACAAGCACTGGTGCGTGCAGAAAGGGTACTTTCTGCCCAAGATGCTTCTTAGAACATGTAGGTCTATCATTAATTGCAAACCTTCTAGATCTGTATTTTAAATGATTTATACTGTTTGCCATCAAATTCATGGCACCACTGATATTTTTTAGCATTTTTAAAAATTTATTTTCAGCATAACATTATTCATTGTTTTTGCACCACACCCAGTGCTCCATGCAATCCGTGCCCTCTCTAATACCCACCACCTGGTTCCCCCAACCTCCCACCCCCCACCGCTTCAAACCTCTCAGATTGTTTTTCAGAGTCCATAGTCTCTCATGGTTCACCTCCCCTTCCAATGATTTTTAAGTACTATTATTTTATGTCCACTAAAATGCTAACAGTGCTGCAAATGAAATTTCAGGAGCCACTCTAAGACACAACTCAATTTCAGAGACTTCCAAAGTGGTAGTGGGGGGAAGGGGGGATGCAGCTTAGAACTGATAGGATACAGTAATTCAAAGCTCTAGTCCTGCACACTTCTCCCCACACCAGTCTACACTGGGGACTTGCTCAGCTCTGCCCAGGCAAAAGCCACATCTAGGACAGGGCCCCCCACCCCAAACAGACCCAAAACACTGAGGTCGACATTTACAAGCAATTTCGCCAGCAGTGCTGATAATCATGGTCCTGTAGTCGGAGGGAGCAAACATGTGGCAGTGGCAGGGGCTGTGGCTTTCCTCTGTGTCCGGCAGGGTTACGGCCACCTCAGACTGGGACTCGGACTTGGCCCCCGAGCCACACACCAGGTCGCGCTCCAGCAGCTCGGCACTGGCCAGGATGACCCCGTAGTAGGCGAAAGAGATTCCCAGCCTGGAAGGGAGAGAAGCGGCTCATTAGAAAAGCCAGCCTGAAGGAGGGGCAGCGCCATCAGAGGTGGAGAGAAGTGGGGGGAAGGGGGAGAGTGGTTGGGTGGGAGGCCCCGGGTGCAGAGGGAGCCAAAGGCTGGGCGCACCTATCCTAGGGAGCTGGAGGGAGGTGTGCAGGGGAACCCCGGGTGGGAAAAGGCTTTGCAGGCACAGCCTGGGGCTGGACCCGGGAGGGCCCCACAGCCAGTGAAGGAAATTTGAAGCGTGGACTCACTTTCTGTCTCCGCTCTAACAAATTAGCATCAACGTGGTTGCTTAAAACAACTCACATTTATTTCCTCCGTTCTGTAGGCCTGAAGTTGTGTGGGTCTCTTGAGGCCTTGGGGGTGGGGGGTGGGGGCGCAGAATCTGCCCCGACCCAAGCACAGCTCAGCTCCTTGGGGCTGGACAATGCATGTCCGTCTCCTTGCTACTGCTGACCTGTTGCTCTCCCTTTCTGCAGGCAGGCTTGCTTCCTCCCTCCTTTCCTCCCGCCCTTCTCCCTTCTTTCCTTCCTTCCCCAGGTCCTTCTGCCCAGGAATCTCTCCGCCTGGCCTCACCTCATGCTTTCTCTTCTGCTCTGTCTCTGTTTCCAGCTGGAGAAACCTCTCTACTTTGAAAGACTCAAGTGACTGGATTGGGCCCACCTGTTTAGTCCCACATATGCTCCCTATTTTAAGGCGGGTAACCTTAATTACATCTGTGCGGTCCCTTTACGCCAGCACGCCAAATTAGCGTGTGATTAAATCAACAGGAATTGGTAATCTGGGGGTGGGGTGGGGGGTAGTAATCTTTTTTTTTTAAAGATTTTATTTATTTATCTGACAGAGATCACAAGTAGGCAGAGATGCAGGCAGAGAGAGAGGAAGGGAAGAAGGCTCCCCACTGAGCAGAGAGCCCGATGCGGGGCTCAATCCCAGGACCCTGAGATCATGACCTGAGCCGAAGGCAGAGGCTTCAACTCACTGAGCCATCCAGGTGCCCTGGTAGTAATCTTTAGAATTCTGCCTGATCCAAAGCTGTCTCTAGCCGGCCATGAGCAGCCCTGGGAGTTTTTCCCTTTATATCTACTTCTTGTCTTTTTTCTGTCTATTGTTTAGTAAATATTTGTGTTGAGATAAAATTATAATAACATACAGAAAATTTCATGTGTCAAAGTCAAGGAAAGAAATATCAGCCCCCCAGAAACACCCCTGGAGCCCCTCTCAGGTTCATAGAAGTGGTTTGGAAAGTCAGCTGTACACCGCATATACAGGGACAGCCGGGGAAATCGCCAGTGCTGCGGGCATCAGCTGATAATAGTGAGATGATTGTTTGTCTGTTAATTACAGGAGTGGAATCATCTAAGAAAATGTCCTCAAGCAGCTGAGACTCTCAAAGAAGTATCTGGGGATGAAAGGTCACGGAGTCTGGGCTTGCTTCAAAGTAGGCTCTGGAAAACAGAGCCAAGGCAACCAGGAGCAACTACCAGTGACCGTCAGTTATGGGGGACGGATCAGTCGGAGGTCATCATGGTATCCTCTACTTCAGGGTGCGTTTGAAAATTTTCATAACAAAGTATCAAAAAAAAAAATCCTAGTAGTTACAATACTTCCTCTTGTTATTAAAATAGCTTTAGTTTGGGGCGCCTGGGTGGCTCAGTCAGTTAAGCATCTGCCTTCCGCTCAGGTCATGATCTCTGTCCTGGGATCCAGCCCCACATCAAGCTCTCTGCTTAGCGCGGGGGCTGCTGTTCCCCCTCCCACAGCCGCTCCCCCTGCTGTGCTCTCTCTCTAAAATAAATAAATAAAATCTTTAAAAAATACAGTAACTCTAGTTCAATTTCCAAATATTGAGAGTATTTTAAGATTTTTATTTATTTATCTGACAGAGACAGAGAGATCACAAGGAGGCAGAGAGGCAGGCAGAGAGAGAGAGGAGAAAGCAGGCTCCCCGCCGAGCCAAGAGCCCAATGCGGGGCTCAATCCCAGGACCCTGAGATCATGACCTGAGCAAAGGCAGAGGCTTAACCCACTGAGCCACCCAGGCGCCCCTAAATATTGAGAGTATTTTAAAAATTAAAGTCTTAAAAGGCAACATACCAGCCTATTAATAATGATTTTATCTGAGAAAGGCAGATAGACACTTTTCTGAATTTAAACACTATAGATTAGTTTTGCCTGCTTTCTATCTTTATATAAATGGAATCACAGAATATGTATCTGTGTCTGGCTTCCTCTGCTCGTTATGATGTTTGTAAGATTCAAATTGAATATTTTGAATATTGAATGTAGATAACTAGTCTTGTTATTGAATGTAGATAACTAGTTTTCTCTTTCCTGTTATTGTAAAATATTTCATTTTTTTTTTAAGTATTTCATTTTTGTGAATGTAACACAGCACATCCATTATACTGTGAATAGACATGTGGCTGGTTTAGAGTTTGGGGTTGTTACAAATAAAATAATGCTAAGGACATCCGTGCAAATGTATTTTGGTAAACATATGTACACATTTCTGTTGGATATAAAGCTACGAATGGAATTACTGAGCCATACACTCTGCATATTTTCAACTGTCATGAATACCTCTGAACCATTTTCCAAACTGGTTTTACTTTGAACTCCAGTCAGCTGTGTGTGAGAGTTCCCGTTACTTAACATTATTCCCAATACGTGCTATAGTTAATCTAATTGGATAGTTAATTGGCATAATTAATTAAATTTTAACCATTCCAGTGGATTTGTAATGGGTCTCGTTGGTTTTAATTTGCATTTCCCTGGTGATTTTAAGGTTGAGCATGTTTTCATACATTTATTTGATACAATTTTTGGTCAAGTGCCAGTTCAAGTCTCCTGCCCATTTTCCTACTGGTTTGGGTATCTTTTCTTGTTGGAAAGAATTATATATATAATTTTATATATATTTAGAGTTGTGTATATATATAAAATTTAACTGGGCATGTATTTTAGAAATTTCTTCTCCTAGTTGGTGACCTTACCTTTCAGATTCTTCATGATCTCTCATGGCACAGAGTTCCTAATTTAATGCAGTAGGACTTTGTGTATCTTGTTTAGAAAATCTTTGTGTATTCAAGGTCACGGCTACAGAGAAGTGGGACACAAAGAAAACCACCAGAGTCTATCCCATTGAATTCAATTATTGGTGACTTCAAAGGATCCCTTTCTGTCATGTGGCGAGGAAAAAGGCCAGACTAGAAAAGGTTAGAAAGTGAGCTCATATGAAAAATAAAAATCTAGTTGTAGATACTTTCTTTCTCCTTAAAAAAAAAATGGTTTATTTATTGGTTAGTTGGTGGTGGTAGCAGAAAGATAAGACATTGCTGGAGTCAGCCTTGTGGTTTTACTCCCCACTGGCACTGAGTGGATTTACTTAAGTCAGCTCTGTGTTTATTGAAAAGTCATTTTGAAATAATTACATTCTTACCATATGACCCAGATCTGTAATGTGGTCCGTAAATATTTAGCATCCAAGAGGTCTGCAAATCTTCCTCTTTTTTCCTGGGATGGTGAAAAGGGACAGGCAGATTAGGTTTAGTGGCTCACAGACTGGCAAAGCGTTCTCTAGTATTTTAGAGAACAGAAAGTAAGAACAGTGTGGGAATGTAATGGGGCACCCATGAGTGCACCTCGCCTTGCCCACAGATCACTGCTTCTACTCGTCCATCTCGGCCAGTCAGTCTTTGCATGCTTTTTATTTTCACTGGGCTGCAAGGACCAGCCCATAGAAGTGAAGATTCTAACCCTTTCCCTCCTCCTCTTCTCACCAGTGCTGGTAAGCAGTGGGATGAAGCACAGAAAATAGTAGGATATAAGAAAAGCATAACCATAAACCTGTTGGGAGAGTCATTTAGACTTCACATTAAAATGAAAAGCTGGCATTGAAAAAGAGCATGAGAATTGTGTACGAAAAAGAATGGCATACGTTTGGAAAGAGGATAGAATGCCCAATTTCTTTTTGTGTCTTTAGGGTCATGAGCAAAAGCTCTTATCCATAGTCAGTGCTATAGTCAATATTTTGGAGAAAAATAAAGATGAGTTATACATGATTGAGCAGTGATGGATTTTTATTTAAAGTTAGGAACATAAAAAAATAAAGCTAAGAACAGTGTGTGTGTGTGTGTGTAGGGGGTACTCAGTTGAAAACCAACTATTCTTTTCTCACAAATAGACTTGGAATTGAAGGCCCCCTTTAGATAGACCAGGAGTGTGATCCTAGGTGTCCTGGATTTTGTGGTCACAAAAAGTTAAATTTTGAAGAAACTTGCTCCAGTGACTTTTTTTTTTTTTTAAGTAATCTCTACACCCATGGTGAGGTTTGAATTTACAAGCCCTAGCTCTACCAACTGAGCGAGCCACATGTCTTGCTGATCCAATGACTTTCAGGCTCAGCTCGTAGAGATCACTGTGGGCAGAGCTGACTGTCCCCTTTCATCTGCTTTCCATACTGGGGCTCTGGTTAGACATCACTAGAACACCTCTGAAGTCGTCCTAGCCTCCCACTCCCCAATACAGACTATGTGACCCAGAGAGGGTAAGTGACTTGCCCAGGGTCACAGAGCTGTTTGGAAGCAGAGCCAGCCTGGTGTTAGGTCTCCTAAACACTAGTCCTGAGTCTTGCCCATCTACGTCCCTGACTCACCCCCTAGAGTTTGGATTCCCCTCTCCAAGTGTACCTGGAGATTCAGAATAATGAGCCTGCAGTGAATCACAATGAGTCCTAAATTATATTAAAAGAAATTATGTGGTCATGAACCTTTGTCTACAATCCAAACTGGTGGACTCATTCACTCATCTACGTGTGGCCCTTCCTTAGCTGGTCCCCAGAGCTACTCATCACTGCGTGTGTGCAGTGAAGGTGCAGAGGCTGCTCTGGGCTTCCCATCTTGTCCAGCCTCCTCGGCATAACGTTCTCATGGCACTGACATGACCAAACCCACTGCACTTTCCTTCCTCTCTGGTCTTGACTCACACCACTCTGCCTCCTTCCTCCCCTGAAGTTGCCTCTCCTCTGTGTTCAATTTTTGTCTCAATTATCCCCTCGGAGAGGCTCTGCTGCCCTAGTGCTCATCTCTCTGCTCTGATCCCATGTGCTGCTGCTGGACCACTCACCCGGTTCTAACATCTGGCTGCTGTGTTAGTGATTCTTTGCTGATGCGCCTCATCTCACTAACAGGCTGTAAGAAACTTGAAGGCAGGGTCTACGGCTTGTAGCTCTGTATCCACAGGGCCCCCGCACGAGAGATAATCATAAAGGAGAAAGCCATCAGATGGGCATGTGGATGGAAGCTGTAAGCTGCGGTCAAGGGAGGAAAGCAGGAAGAAGATGAAGGGGGAGAGAGGAGAAGGATGTAAGAGGGAGGGTGGAGGGTGGGGAACATGAAGATGGAGACTAGATGGGGGTGGAGGAGGGAAGGTTCTTGATACCAGAATTGAGTCTCCCCGATTAGGACAGTAACAATACTTTATCATATATTTTGAAGCTGTTAAGAGAGTCTCTCTTAAATGTTCTCACCACAAGAAAAGGAAAGAAATGGTAATTGTGTGATATGATGGAGGTGTTGACTGACTCTAGGGCAGTTATCATTTTGCAATATACAAGTGTATCAAATCAATACACTGTACACGTTAAACTTCACCATGCTGTGTGTCAGTTACAACTTAATAAACCAGGAAGGGGGAAAAATGGAAGAACAGCCTCCCCCCACAGGCAAGCCAGCCCTGGTGAGAACCTACAGCTTTTCTCAGTACTGCTGGTGTCCCTGTTTATGTCATTCCCCATCTCTCTGGGGATGCCTTTCACTCGGTCATATGTCCAGCATCTTTGTATTCTGTCAATCCTCCTCTTACCAAAATCTGCACTTAGCCACGGATCTAAGGAGGCAAAGGCTGATTGATAAAGACTGTGGAAGACCTTCAATGTCAGGACAAGGATTCTGGGCTTCACCCACAGTCAGGGACTGAGAGGGGCAGCGTGGGGGAGGCACTGAAGGGGTGAACATTGGCGCTGAACAGAAGGGGTGGTATTGGCGCTTGAAGAACACTTGTCTGACAGTGTTGTGCTGGATGACATCACAGGGCTTGGGGCAAGAGGTGGCAGCGTGAAAGAAAGAGACTGGGGCACCTGGGTGGCTTAGTAGGTTAAGCCTCTGCCTTTGGCTCAGGTCATTATCTCAGGGTCCTTGGATCAAGTCCCACATTGGGCTCTCTGCTCGGTGGGGAGCCTGCTTCCCTCTCTCTCTCTCTGCCTGCCTCTCTGCCTACTTGCTATCTCTCTCTGTCAAAAAAATAAATAAAATCTTTTTTAAAAAGAAAGAAAGAAAGAAAGAGACTAGATGGAAAAGCCACTATTACCCAGTGGGACTGGCAGGCGATCGAGCTCGGTGGTGCAGAGGTTTCCAATGTCTCAAAGGGAATGCCACCGTGAGATGAGCATTAGTGAATGCCTGTTTCAGGCTGCAATGTGAAATAAGCCAGACACAGTACTGCATAATTCCCCCTATATGAAATAGAGAATAGGCAAACTCATAGAAACAGCAAGTAGAAGTTTCCAGGTCGTGGGTATGAATAGGAGTGAGGAGTTACTGCCTAAGAGAGTGTCTGTTCTGGAAGATGACAAAATTCTGGATGTATTTGATACCACTGAATTGTACACTTCAAAATGATGACACCAGCAATGGAACGATATCCATGCTCATGGATTAGGAGGACAAATATTGTTAAAATGTTTATATTATCCACAGCAATCTAGAGATTGAATATAATCCCTACGAAATATCAACATCATTTTTCAAAGAATTAGACAAATAATCCTAAAATTTATATGGAACCAAAAAGACCCTGAATAGTCAAAATGATCTTAAAAAGAACAAAACTGGAGGTATCACAATCCCCGATTTCAAGATATACTACAAAGTTATAGTAGTCAATACAGTGTGGTGCTGGCAGCACAAAAATGGACAGATAGATCAGCAGAACAGAATAGAGAGCCCAGAAATAAACTCCCAATTATATGGTCAATTAATCTTTGACAAAGGAAGCAAGAATATGCAATGGGAAAAAGTCTTTCAACAAAGGGTGTTGCGGAAAATGAACAGCTACACGCAAAAGAATGAAACTGGGCCACTTTCTTTCAGCATACACAAAAATAAGCTCAAAATGGATTAAAGACCTAAATGTGAGATAGGAAACCATAAAAGTCCTAGAAAAGAGCAAAAGCAGTAATTTCTGTGACATCAGCCATAGCAAGATTTTCCTAGATATGTCTCCTAAGATGAGGGAAACAAAAGCAAAAATAAACTACTGGGACTACATCAAAATAAAAAGCTTCTACACAGCAAAGAAACAATCTCCAAAGATGACATCACTACTAGGTATTTACCCAAAGAATATGAAAACACTAGTTTGAAAAGATATAGCACCCCTATGTTTATTGCAGCATTATTCACAACAGCCCAATTATGGATGCAACCCAAGTATCCATCCATAGATGAATGGATAAAGAAGTGTTGGTGTAAATATATGGTGGAGTATTACTCAGCCATAAAAAAGAGTGAAATCTTATCATTTGCAACAACATAGATAGAACTAGAGGGTATAATGCTAAGTGAAAAAGTCAGTCAGAGAAAGACAAATACCATAACACTTCATTCAAATGTGACATTTAAGAAATTAACCCATGGATTTTTAAATGCATGGGGAGTCAGTATCCCTAACCCCTGTGCTGTTCAAGAGTCAACTGTACTCATTTTAGAATCTTGGATTCCTCCCTTTTCTTTTCTGAGATCAGTTTCTTAATTTGACAAATGAAAGTACTATATATTGGCTAATGGGACATAAATATTTTAAAAAATTAAAGAATATATGTAAATAAAATGCAAAAAAAAATAGTATTTGCCTACCTCATAGGGTTTTCCTTAAGTGTCAAGTTAAAAATGTACATTTTAAAAAAAGAGAACAAAAATAGAGGTAAAAAACATATAAGGAGAACTCTCCCCTCAGGAAATTCAGTCTTCCAATAAGAGTTTTTTGTCTTGGTTTTTGGGTTGTTGTTTTTTTTTAATGTTGTTGAGGAATATAAAAAGACCTGAAGATTGGGAACATAGTTTTATCAAAATAAAAATATTTAATATTATAAAGGTATCAATTCTCTTTAGGTATTAACTAATAATTTCAACACCATCCCAATTAAGCCCTCCCAGGTTTTAGGGGGAAATTAGGAGATGTTTATAAAGTGACTTCAAAGTTGTCCTAGAAAAATAGTACTGTGAAAACAACTTGGAAAATTCTGAAAAAGAATTTTGACAAGGGGGACTTACCCTACTAGATATGGAAAATACTGTAATTAAAAGTGTCACATTGAACCAACAATTAACCTGTATCCTTTTCCCAAATGCCTTCTTTATTATATATGTCCCCATATATACATGAATCTACAAATCTGTCATTAGCACACAATAGAGAATTCAAAAATAGACTCAAATATACAAAAGATGGATTATTCAGTAAAATATATGAGTGCAACTGGTTAGCCATTTAGATATGACAAAGCTAGACCATGTTTCCTATATTCAATTAAACCCAGGTAGATCCAACATTTAAATAAAAAGTATGAAACCAAATTAACCCAATAGAAGGGAGAAGGATACCAAAATGCTGTAAAAGGTAAGTTTGAAACCACTGAAAAAGACAAATCTAAATCTAAATAGGTACCTGCTTAGAAAATAATGTCTAATTTGGGGAAACTTATGAACAACATGAAACAAAAACAGAAGACAAAAATAATCTGGAAGATGAGACTAGGGCAGATCAGAACATCTTCAAGGGCTTTGTATTGTTCAGACGGCAAATAAAGATACAAATAAAGACGTTGTGGGTACACGTGTTCAATATTTAAGGGCTATAATATATTCTTACATAACAATAGTAATAATAATAATAATATGTAATAAAAGAAAAAGAGTGAACAAATTCCAAACTGATAGAAGAAAGCACAGGGAGGAGGGGGGAGAAAAGCAAACCGATTCACTCTAATAAAAGGTAAGGAAGGAGAGAATGAAAGAGATGGTTAAGAGGAAATATAAAATAAAATGGCAGAAGTTAAGTCCAAATATGTGAGTAATCACAATAGATATAAATGGATCAAATCCATTACTAAAAGGCACAGAATAGCAGACTGAATGAAAAAAATAAAGATCAGCTATATATACACAAGAAATGATTTTAGGGGTGCCTGGGTGGCTCAGTGGGTTAAAGCCTCTGACTTCGGCTCAGGTCATGATCCCAGTGTCCTGGGATCAAGCCCCGCATTGGGCTCTCTGCTCAGCAGGGAGCCTGCTTCCCGAGCTCTCTCTGCCTGCCTCTCTGCCTACTTGTGATCTCTGTCTGTCAAATAAATAAAATCTTTTTTAAAAAAATGAAATGATTTTAAAGCAAAGCAACAGAGGAAAGTTGAAAATGAAGGTCTGGAAAAAAGAGACAACAGGAAAGATGTTAACCTAACCTAACCTCTTATGTCAATATATGAACATAAGAGAAAATAAAATTTAAGGCCCAAACCAGTACAAAATAACAACATAATAGGTTAATCCATGAGACTAAGCCAATCATATGTTAAGACGCAACAAGAGATCCTCAAAATATATTAAGTAAACTATCATGACTATAAAGAGGAAGGAACAAAGCCATCACCTTATTGAAAAACTGTTAGCTCAGCCAGGCAAAATCTAGCACAAGTGTCAGAAATTTATATGGCATAATTAACAGTATATAACAAAACATATATACTCAATGAGAACACATGCTTTTTAAGCACACATGGAACATCAGTGAAGAGACTATGTAGAGAACAACAGAAAAATCTCCAATATTCCAAATAATTGAGAATATCCTCTGACCAAAATGAAATTAAATTAGAAAAAACAATAAAAAGGAGTATTAATGGATAACTCACTGATTAAAGAGAAACTCAGATCAATTACCAAAGAGAAATAAAATTAAAATTACTCTATAACAAAGCTTGCTAAATGCAGCTGAATACTTCATTAAAAATAAAAAAGACTGACCATAAATGAGCTAAGTACAGAACTCAAGAAGCTAGAAAAACATAAAAAGCTAAAGGAGAAAACAAAGAGTAGTAATTAACAAGCCCACACACATACACAAAATCAATAAAGAGAACAACAACAAAAAGAGCCCTTGTTCTTTGAAGTTTTTTTTAAAGACTTTATTTATTTATTTGATAGACAGAGATCACAAGTAGGCAGAGAGGCAGGCAGAGAGAGGGGGGAAGCAGGATCTCCACTGAGGAGAGAGCCTGATGATGTGGGGCTCCATCCCGGGACCCTGAGCCAAGGCAGAGACTTAAGCCACTGAGCCACCCAGGCGCCCCGTTCTTTGAAGTTAATACACAAACCTCTAGTAAGAGGACCAAGAAAAAAGAGAGAAGTCACAATACACAGCATGAAAATGAAAGATGGGACATATGCAGCAGATTTTTGAAACTCCTAAGAGAACACTGGGAACAACCTTGTATCAACAAATTTGAAATTTGAAAACCGAGATGAGCTGGACAATTTTCTAAAATATATACACTACCAAAATGGACTCAATCAAAAGTCTTAAACAAAAGTGGACTCTAACCTTTACATAAATTAAATCATAGTTTTAAAAACTCCTCCATGTAACACCCTCTTGTTATCCCCCACTGCTCCCCTCAAAATAAATATTCAGCATAAATGACTTTAGGGGCAAGTTTCACCTCTATAACCATATTCCAGCCACAACCAAGAGATGAATTTCTATCTTACATAAAATGTTGCCGAGTTGGCGGGACAGGTGAGGAAGGTACCACTGGTTCCTGTGACTGACCCACCTATAGGTGCGTGGTCAGGGCTGGTGTAAGAAATGATTTCAGATTGACGTTAAGAGCCCTGGACCCAGAGAGTGTAAATGCCAAATTGTGTCTTAAGAAATCAGTTAGGGGCTCCTGGATGGCTCAGTGGGTTAAGCATCTGCCTTCGGCTCAGATCCTGATCCCAGGGTTCTGGGATTGAGTCCCACATCAGGCTCCTTGCTCAACAGGGAGCCTGCTTCTCCCTCTCCCTCTGCCTGCTGCTCCCTTGGCTTATGCACTCTCTCTCTGACAAATAAATAAAATCTTTAAAAAAAAAAAAAAGGAAAGAAAGAAAGAAAGAAAGACAGAAAGAAAGAAAGACATCATTTAATGAGGTTTTCTAGATTTGAGATCACTTATGATTTACATCATTTATAAGACCAGTACAAGAAAATAAAATTAAAAAGAAAAAGAAAAGAGAAGAAAATTATAAAACAATCTCTCACCTGTAAACAAAGATGACAAGTCACATGACTAGCTCTGCAAGGTAGATATTATTCCCATTTCGTTGATGAGGAAAGCTAAGGCAGGTAACTTGCTAGGGCCACTGGCTCTCCAAGGAGCTGGATTTAGTCCCAGTCCACTCTGCACTTCTCCCTCGTCCCTTTGGGGTGGGGCTGGAGAGCGAAGGTCCCCTCCCCTCTGCCCTTCTAGGACTGAGGGGATTTCTGGTGGGGGAGAGAAGGCCTCCCCGCTGGGAACTTACCAGGATGGGCTCCACTAGCTTCCCCTCCGGCATGACCGAGCGGTTCATCTTGGCGATGTGATGCAGGGTGGCAAGGGCAGCCTGAGTGTTCCCGGTGGAGACGTTGAAGCGAGCGGACTCAGGAATAAACTGGCACAGAAGGAAAGAGCATCAGAGTTCAAGTGCTGCGGACCCTGGGGGTTCCACGATTCCTGCTGTATAGTCACACGCCCCAGTTTCCAGAGACAGAGGAGCAGCAAGCTGCTGGTCTGGAACAAACAGGGTCATGTCCCCCTTACTGTAGTCCCGTCTTGATGATATCGCACCCATACTGAGCCCAGCCTACTCCTTACTGCAAGGAAATGCTACATCCACTTGGTAAACAGTTGCCCCAGGGCCACTCTACTGCCCTGTCACCCCAGCCTGCCCACAGGCACCCTGTGATCTCTCACATGCACCAGCCCACAGCACGACCATGGCAGGGACCCAAGCGCCCACGATGGGGTGCACCACTCCTGACAAGCCAGACCCTGCACCCACCGATCACTGAACGCTGTACCCAGACAACACTACAGGCTGGTGCGCCTGGGCGGCTCAGTCAATTAAGTGACCGACTTTGGCTCAGGTCAAGATCTTGGGGTCCTGGGATCAGGCCCCATGTCAGGGTCCCAGCTCAGTGGGGTCTGTCTGTCCCGCTCCCTCTGCCCCTCCCTCCACTCATGCTCTCGCGTTCTCTCAAATACATAAATAAATATAAATACATACATACCCACCTAACGAGACAGGCCTCCATGGAGGCTGGGACCTTGAGAATCACCTTGAACCACTCCCTGCCCTTCATTCCTCGATGGAGGTGGGCGGGTTCTTCCTCAGAAAAGCACCTCCCACAGCGGCACCTGCTCCCCATCCCGTGCCCAGCAGCCCCTCATCTCCCACTGGGATGCTCCTGACTGCTCCCCTGGCTTTCCGCGCGCAGGCTCCACGCAGCCGCAGACCAGCTTCCCAGCACACAGCCAGCACCCCCTGCCTCGAAGGCCCTCATAATCTGGACACAGGCCTGTCGCCGCCCCCCACCCCCCGCCCCCCACCAACATACTTCATTCCAGCCTACCTGCTCTCCCCCAAAGATTCTGCATTTCACACCTTCGTGGCCGGGCCGACGCCTGAGCTCTGTCCACATGCCCTTGCCCCACTCTCCGGCCCTTGCAGTGCAGGCTATACCACCCCCACGGCCAAATTCAACAGCGTCGCCCCACTGGAACAAATCGCTCTCTCCCTGAGCACCCACAGGACGAACGCTGCGACCGCGCTTACCGAGTCCTGCGAGTACCATCACCCTTTGCTTTCGTATCTATCTCTCCCCTACTGGCTGGCGCTCCTTGACGGCAAGAACCATATCCTATGCATACTTTTAGCCTCGGAACCTCATGCGGAGCCTGGTACATACTTGGTGTGAGTGTCATCAATCCAAAGACAAGGCCAAGATTCAAAATAATAATTTTTATAAAGATAATAGCATAGCTATGTGGCTCACACATGTTAAACACTGTTTGTGCTCCAGGTTCACGAAGAGAGTCATATGCATTACTTTGTTTAATCTTCCGCATGGCCCTAGGAGATATGCCCTGTTCATGGGGTGGAACCACTCGTCCAGGAGAATGGGGCCAGGACCGTCTTTTTCTAACTGCACCAGCCAAGGCAGGCAGGCTGCTCACAGATGGGACTGGGCCCACTAAGCCCCTGGAACCAGGCACCTGCCGCTCTGGGTGGGACGTCAATCAACAGTTCACTGCAGAGAAGACCCAGACTAATGGACTCATCCAGAAAAAAATGGACAGGGCTCTGGGATCAGGTGTCAGGAGAAAGAGCTGAAGGTCATGGCGTTGCTTCATTCAAAGAAGGAAAGCTGTGATTGGGCTAGATTTTCTTAACCGTTTGGAGGGATATCATGTAGAAGCTAGACCTCTGGGTTTTCAGAGAGAACTATTAAGACTGCAGGTAAACTCATGAGGAGGCAGGGTCCCCTCCGCATCAGAAAGGACCTCCTAAGAACTAGGCCTGCCTGCGGATGGACATAGGATGTCGTCTATAAAGTCTTGAGTCTGAAAGTGTCCAAAGCCGGGAGTGTTCTGGATGTGTGCTTGTGGTTGGGGTACGAAATACATGCCCTCCGAGGACACTTGTGAAATATGAAATTCTCTGATTCTGTAGTGTTAGGTCACACACACACACACACACACACACAGCACATCCCAGTTCACTGCGGCGCCAGCCCCGTCTTTGAACAATGAGGGGAATCCAGCGGAACCTAAGGAACAGGTTGATTCTGTGGGTTACAGGGAGAGCAGAAGGACAAAACAGCTGGCCTGTAGTGGCCTGAGAATGTGTGCCACGCGTCAGACTCCAACCACCAAAGGTAAGAGAAGGGTCAGCTCAAGTGGGGTGTCGCTGTGAGACGAAACTTCCAGCAATAAACAATCCGAGGCAGGCTAATGGAGGGGAGGGATGAAGCGGATTGAGACAGTCTTGAGTGAAGGAAAGAGGCAGAAGTGAGGCTGACACTTGTGGGGCAGAAGGACCCCTGGGCCAGCTGGAGGAGAGGACCAGAGGGAGCCCACGAACGGCCTCACCTTGAAGACCAAGATGAGGATGATGCCTGGAATGGAGGCGATGCGAATCAGCCAGCGCCACCCGATGGTGGGGATGACCACGGAGGCCAGGCCGATTATAAGCAGGGAGCCAGCCAGCCAGAAAACCTGGGGAGAGGATGAGAGGTCACAACTCCTCCTATCAGGGCATTTGCCTGGCTTCTTGGTGGAGCGGGTGACTCTTGATCTGGGGTTTAAGTTCGAGCCCCATGTTGGGTAAAATAATTTCTTGAAAACAAAACATTCACAATTCCCCTTACCCAGTGTGCTCAACCCTGCCTCTCTGAGGAGCATCAGGAGATATACTTCAGTATAAGGATATAAGGATAAGGTGAAAGAGGGTCTTTAAGGAGCCCAGGTCTGGGTTCTACTCCCAGCACTAGCTCCAGGACCTGGATGAACAGGGAATATCGCCTCACTTCTCAGTGAGAGAAGCTCAGTTTGCTTGTCTATAAATGGAAGGCTCAGCTATACAAGGGGTCAGTACTGTCGCCACAGTTTTAAAAATTGGAAACGTTGACATTTTTCCCCATTGAATAAATAAAAGATGAACTGGTTCATAACTCAAAAGCCACAAAGGAAAACACTAAAAATGCTCTCTTCCTCTCCTGCTTCTTTGCCATCCAGTTCTCTTCTTAGAAGAAACCAATATTACCTATTTCTTGGGTCCTTCCAAAGCTGTTCTAAGCATATATAAGCTAATAAGGATATATTTCATTCTCTTTTTTCACAAATGATACCATAGTATAAATATTGCTTTTTGTACTGAAAAAATGTATCTTGAATATCACTGTGTATCAACAAACAACATGGTAGTCCATTATGGCTGGGCCTGTTGGGTTTGGGAATTAGAATGATTCCAAGTGTTAGCCTAAGCATTCTCTCCCCACTGGGAGATGACAATTCCATTCCACCTCACAGAAATGGAGAGAAGACAATAGAAAAAAAAACCCTTTGTGGGCAACTAAGTAAGGGGTGACAAAGGGGTGACTATTTTATCACTAAAGATTTCAATTGCAAAAACCGAATAGGATTATTTCAGAAAGCACTAAGGGCTATGAAAAAGGAGTAATGTCATGGGGAGTGATCAGGGATGCACTTTCTGAAGAGGCAACAAATAAGAAGACTAGCAGTAAGTCACTGTGATCGACCAGATAGCAGGTGACAGGTCACTGACAAGAATTTTAGTAGGGAGGGCACCTAAGTGGCTCAGTGGGTTAAGCATCTGCCTTCGGCTCAGGTCGTGATCCCAGGGTTCTGGGATTGAGTCCCCCATCAGGCTCCCTGCTTCTCCCTCTGCCTGTTGCTCTCTTTCTCTCTGACAAATAAATAAATAAAATCTTTAAAAAAAATAATTTTCTTAGGGAAGTGGCAAAAAAATTTTATAACTGGTGATCTGGCACAGATATTAGAGGTAAAAGTGACAAGGTTTGCTGATGGACACTGCAGTTGGGGGTCCATCAATAAGAGATGAAGCAGCAGGACTTGGTAAGGATTGAATGGGGGTGATGGCACAGGAGGGGTCCGGGACGGCTCTTGAGCTTGTGGCCCAGATGACCAAGGGGACTATGTTTACTACTAGCTGAGAGTGGAAATGTGGAAATAAGACATTTCAGGGGAAAATGAACAGATGAATTCTATCCGTGTTGTATTTCTGAAGCGATAGTCCAGGGACTCTCCCATAGGCTATTGGCTCTATCCGCATCTGAAACTCAAGGGGATGCTCTTGGTTGTAGGTAAAGATATTGGGGTTTACAGATATAGGTAACTAAAACCATTGGAGTTACTTAGATGATCCAAGAAGAGGAGGAAAATAAGACTAGCAAGAAGATAAAACCAGGAAGCATGTCATGGAGTTAATGGCAGGCAGAAGAGGAAATGTCCACAGATGAGCTTGAATAGGACCACGCCCATGAAATACTGTTAAGGATAAAATCTGAATAGGTCAAGCTGAGAAAGACAATTATATGGTTTCACTCATATGTATAACATAAGGAATACTATGGGGGACCACAGAGGAAGGGAGGGAAAACCGAAGAGCGGCCAGAATCAGAGAGGGAGAAGAATCATGAGAGACTGTGGACTCCAGGAAACAAACTGAGGGTTTCAGAGGGGAGAGGGTGGAGGGATAGGGTAGTCGGATGATGGGCATTAAGGAGGGCACATGTTGTGATGAGCACTGGGTGTTATATGCAACTAACGAATCTTCAACACTACATCAAAAACTAATGAGGGTCGCCTGGGTGGCTCAGTGGGTTAAAGCCTCTGCTTTTGGCTCAGGTCGTGGTCTCGGGGTCCTGGGATCGAGCCCCGTGTCAGGCTCCCTGCTCGGTGGGGATCCTGCTTCCCCCTCTCTCTTTGCCTGCCTCTCTGCCTACTTGTGATCTCTCTCTGTCAAATGAATAAATAAAATCTTAAAAAAAAAACCAAATTAATGATGTATTATATGGTGGCTAGCAGAACATAATAAAAAAAATAAAGTAAAATAAAATAACGCAAATGCAAATTGGTACAAAAAGAAGGATAAAATCAATGCTAAGTACTAAAAGTATCTGCATCTATCTTAACAAAGATCAGAAAAACAGGAGAAATTTAAAGAGTTAGCATACAGTGTTTGTTACGTTCTTTGTCATTTTTTGTTGCCTTCATTGAATATTGGAAAATTTAAAAATAAATCTTAAAGTATTCTCCTACTGCTTTATTTATTGCTAAATATATGTTTCAGCGAGAAGAGCTTTCTTTTTGGTGGGCCCCTGAAAGTCAGGGCTTTTGGACACTAATGACATCAGAGACATCAAGGACACCTAGATAGATTAACATAGCTTCTGATACAAAACCTCTCCTCCAGCGGGGCCTGTGGCAGGCTTGGGAACATTCCAATCTCCTGGATAAATGATTCAGCTGGACAAGGCACTTAGGGCATGTCCCCACAGGCATGGGCCAGTTGTGGCCCCGAAGACACTAGTAATCCTGGAGGGGAGATAGGCTGTCCTAAGGAGGCTAGTAGGTATGTCCCCCTCCTGAAGACTCACGGGGGAAGAGAAAGTCCATCCCAGATGCATTCCTAAGCTTCCATCATTCCACTGAGACCAGCCACCAGAATGTTTCCTGGAAGAGGCTACTCTGTTCTAAATGCTACTGTTGGGTGACAAAAGTCCTGGCTGAGGACACCATGAAATGGGACCCTGGCATCCAGCCTTCCCAATGCTCTTTAGTTAACACCAAGAAATAGACAGCGTGCTAACCCGACAGACGACCAGCCAGAAGCAAAACCAAGGGTATCACATCCACTAGGATCAGAAGCCCAAGTAGAATTACTATTTTATCTTACCTGAGACAACGGGAGCATGTAGCCTCGATATTTTGTTGGCAAAAACTCAGTCTTTATGATTAGCCTAAACAGGAAGGGAGGGGGAACAGAATAATTTTGTTTTTATCAAAGAAAATGACTTGAAAAATCATAACTTTTCTTGTCACAGAAATAAAAAATGAAAAAACATAGACTTCATCATTGTGAAGTAAATATATGTATATACTGCTCTCAGCTCCTGGTTTCTGCTGATATTTGGTCTTTGACCCCAGTGTCTGACATAGAACACCTAGAATCCTTGGGCTTCCTGGTCCAAAGGAGCATCCTTTGTTCTCATGAGATGGCTTTTGATGAGTGCCTAGATGGGGCCTCATCTTAAAAGACCAAACCACGATTAGAATCTTGGGATGTCCAACCCTGTCCTCCAACCCCTGGAGAGAGGAGAGGGATTGGAAAATGATTTGATGCCTCCATGTCTCATGCCTCCACAATGAGGCCTCCATAGAAAGCTTGAATATACAAGGTTTGGCGAGCTTCCAGGCTGGAGAGCCCATCTGTGTGCTGGGAAGGAGGTGTGCCACAGACTCCATAGAAACAGTAGCTCTTGCCCTGTGTATCTCTCTTCATCAGGCCATTCACCTGTTTCCTCTAAAATCTCCTTTGTACTACATCTGCAGTCATAGGTAGACTGTTTGCCTGGGTCCTGGGAGCTTCTCTGGCCATTTATTGAGTCCACAGAAGGATCTGGGGCAACTTGCATTTGTAACAAGTCAGACAGAAGGTGTGGATAAGCTGGGGACCTACTGCTTGTGATTGGTGTCTGAGGTGGGTGATAGCCTCTTGGGACTGAGCCTAAACCTGGGCGTGGGGGAGGGGTCTGAGCAAACTCCCGTTAGGAAGAATTGAACTAATCTGTAGAACAACCAGCTGGTGTTAGAGGATTGGCCGGTGTGTAAATAACCCGCACATTTAGTGTCAGGAGTGACGATCTGTCAGGTCGCCTGGGTGGCTCAGTCGGTTAAGTGCCCGACTCTTGATTTCAGCTCAGGTCATGAGCTCAGGGTCGTCCGATGGAACCTCACACGGGGCTCCAAGTAGAGCCTGCTTAACATTCTCCCACTCCCTCTGCCTCCTCCCAACCCCCCTGCTGGCATGTGCTTTCTTTCTCTTAAGAAAAAAAAAAGTGAAGCTTTGTCACAAGTACTGAGTGTGAGTGTGTAAAGGAAAACAGAAGTTTTTCCTAAACAATTATGTTTTGCTGTATGATTGTGAACAACTAAAATCCACAAAAGAGAATAAGAAACTTGCAATTGCCCTTCTGTTTACATGGTTCTTCTCAAAGTTCTTTTCAACCTTCTACCATTTAAGAGATAAGAGCCTTATTCCCTCCCCCCCAAAAAATTGAAAAGTGTTTTTGCCAAACCCTTTCTAAAACATACTTGGGAATTTAAAATACACCTGAAAGGAAGTGAATCGATGCCTAGAGCGAATGGTGGCAATCCAAGCACAGGCTTCTAATTAATTTTGTGATTAGACAAATAAATAGAATCATACTCCCTTCTGTTTTCTAATTGCTCTTCCCTGTTGCAATAATTAGCCAGGGTTTGGGCTTTCTTAACATATTTATCGGGCTGGTTCCTGAGGGATGTTGTAAATGTCAAGCTAACTTCTACTCCTGTAGGGCTCCAAAGCTCAGAGCAGGCTTAATTTATGCCCCGGGGAGGGACAATCTTTCCACAACACATTAAGGTAATGATTGGGTGCTTTGATATCTCCTAATACATCCTAAGGGTAACCTGCTCCACGGCACCCGGGAGAGAGTAGGCTGAGGGCTCTGTGAATCTAAGGGAGGCTCCAGAGCTGCTGAGCATTCAGCGGACACCTCTCCAGCCACGAGACATTGTGCACTTATCCTAGGACAGAGAAGGACCTGCAGCCGCCATCTCTCTCAGCGACCTCCCCCTGCTTTGCAAATGGACTTAGACATAGTCTTCGGTCACAGGGCAACGGCATTTTAAAATGGCTACTCCTTGGGCAACTGGGTGGCTTAGCCGGTTCAAGGTCATAACCCCACAGTAATGGGATCAAGTCCTGCATGGGGCTCTTTCCTCAGTGGGGACTCTGTTTCTCCCTCGTCCTCCACCCCTCCCCCTGCTCATGCTTGCTCTCTCTCTCTCTCTCTCTCTCTCAAATAAATAAATAAAATCTTTAAAAACAAATAAATTAATGGTATGGTTACTCATCAATGTTAAAGGTGGTTCTGGTCAAACTAAACTCTTCCAACACATTCTCAAGCAACGAAAAGACCGTGTTACCTGCCTCCTATGGCACTTTTGCTTGGCATGTAGTCTAACAAAATAAAGATCAGCCTTAGGGACAAAAAAATTTAAACGCATTCACCTCTAGTGCCCTCTGCTAGCCTCACCATCAAGCATCATTTTTTTTGTTTTGTTTTGTGTGGTTTTTTTTTTAGTTTTTAAATTTTTTATTAACATATGATATATTATTGGCCCCAGGTCATTTTGATGAGCAAATAGCTCCTAGTGGAATTAACAGCCATTGCTTTAAGAACAATTAAAAAAAATAAAGAGCTAAAAAATAATTAGCACAAGTCAAGTCTTATACATTTATAGCTTGTTGGTGTTATTGGCCCATGAACCACCACCACATCTGTGTAAGTATCTGGGGGTGTCCTGCATTTCTCTCTCAAGCCTCCTCTCGGTGAGGTCTTTACCCTTGTGCATGGCCAGACACGCCACAGCCCACCATCGTCCGCAGGAAGACAAACCAGATGTATGACGGAGAGAAAGAGGTCAGCAAGGAGAAGTAGGCTCCCCATAGGAACGAGATGAGCAAAATCTAAAGCAACCAAAGGAGACATATTAGTGGGACCTGCCTCTCTGGAGGAAACTAATGGGAGACGATTTGCCTTCTGAAGGCGATTTTTAATTTCCATCCGGAGGTTTGCTTCTCAGAGGGGCTAATTCTACAGGGAGCTCACCGATCTCTCACAATCACCAAATAACACAGTCCACACCGTTGTACTGCCTGAAAGCCCAGACATTCCAAATTTCGACCGTTCTTCAACACCGCCCCACTGCATCCACCCTAACAGGCGACAGGCGCCCAAACTTGTAAATCAGGATGAAAAAAACCTGCCCTCATTAGGAGCACAGAGAAGTGTTGTGTTGGGATGGGGACGAGGAGAAAATTTAAGGTATTTGCTTTTTCCCTAATTATAAGACTAATACAAATTCATAGTATAGAATATGGAAGAAAAAGAGAAAAACAAAAATATTTCTATCTTGCTTGATTTCCCAACCCCCCAGAAAAGACTTGTTAACATACTTTTATCCTATTTTCCTTGCTTGAAAGGGAAAATATATTTTTCATGGCTGTAAAATATTCCAGTGGAAGGAGGTATTGTAGTGCGGAAAATATTATGCATAATCCCTTCGCCTGTGGTTGAATGATGAGGTTTTCTCATGGTTACAGTTAGCTGTGGCAATGTACATAATCTCTGTGCTTCTCTGATGCTCTAATCGGGCTAGATTTCTGGAATGAAAATGATCAGACTAGGAGAATGGGTATTCTCCAGGTTCTTGATTCATCCTGCCAAACCGATGGTCAGAAAAACTGGACCAATACAACGTGAAGGTGTCTCTACACTTGTAGCCTTCTCCAAAAAGAGAACAAATCCTATGGATTTGATACCCCAAAATTCATACCTTCTAATATTTTCCTTTCGATTGCTCCCATAATCAAATGTTTTTCAAGAAAGGTTGACCATTTTTATTTTTGTGTAAAAATGTCTTGTTGTGCTTTTTACATTTTTTTACATACTTGTGTTTTCAGTATGAAATGTATGAATGTCTATGATATTTACTTCATGTACTTCAAAACATAAAGCCAATGCTGTAATTACTTTCCTTTGGGGCTTGTCCCCTTGTGTTTATGCTTAAGGAGGTCTTCCCTACCAGAAACGAGACAAGGGGAAAAAAAAAAAAAAAAGAGCGAGACCTAGGCTTCTAATCAGAAGACATAGGTTTCGATCTTACTGTTTAATCTTAGTAGGTACATGACCTTGAGCAAGCGGCTGAGTTTCAAAGCTATACCAAAGTTAACTAATGTGAAGCTGCTTATGTTTCTATGTGTCAGTCTCTACATTCTAAGATTTTCTAACCGTGCACACCCATCAGTTCCATTCCTGGACGACAGGGACCAGGTAGGAGGAAGGGTATGCCAGGAAAAGACAAGAAAGCACTAAGACAAGCCTGGCATTGGGGCACATGGTGTCAGAGAAGGACATTTCCACCCATTCTGTCTGTTACAGACAGAGAAATGTCCACTAAAGAGAACCAGTGGTGACATCATTACAAAAGAAAATACCACGTCATTCTTCAAGGCCAACCTACCTTCCAGCGGCCGTATCTGTCAGCCAGGAGGCCAAAGAGGATGCTGAACACCATGTAGCCAAAAAACACCATCTGGAGGTGGAGTGAGAAAACAATTATCCTGTAGGCAGGCTTTCTAGAATACACTGATGAGCTGCATTTCCCATTCATTCATCTTCATGAAAAGTCGACTGGAAAGGGGAAAAGGGCGGAAGCTGGAGAGCGGCTTTTCACAAAGCTCTCCCGTCTCCGTTTCCCACGGTCAGGGCTTCAGAGGCTGACGCTTCCCATTGATGCCCACCCCACAACTGGAGACGTTGCCCCCCAGTAGAAACAGGGATCGGAGGAACAGGTAGCTGTTTTCCCTCTGATCCAAGATGATGGTCCTGGTCTCGTTCTACTTGGATGTATAATTGTGCATTTCCATTTTAATAATTTTTTTAAAAAGCTGTATTCATTCATGACCTGCCTTATCCCACTTCTAGAAGCAATTTTCCTTTATGTTTTTACAGGTAAACATAAACTTTAAATAAACACCCAAGTCAATCATCCATACAGAAACACTCTTCAAAACTAATATAAATCTGTTTCTTTTCCAACCTTGTTCTCACAATGGATTATCCTACGCTGATAAAATTCAAGAACCTGTGTATGATACCAGCATTTTAACTCAGTCTGAGCTGTGATCTGCTGTCTGTGCCTTCAGGCTACTTATTTTTTTCTTTCAAGCAGTTCCAAGCTTCACTTGCTTTCCTTTCTAGTAAGATCTCTGACTGATTGACTCTAGGGTAATCAAAGGAAAGATGTTAGCTTGCATTTCTAAGACTTTTTCAATAAGAGAACTGGTTCTCTCTGCTGCCTGCTTTGCTTTCTCTTCTTTTCCCCCTTCCTTACTCTTCATAAGGAAGACTCAAACATATTTCTTCCACAGGGAACCATAAGAACAAGAAAAAAAAAAAAACCCATCACGTCTATTCTTGAACAACAAAGCCATGCTTTTCTTCTGCACTGTGCTTTCCAGGATAGAAGGGGAGGGGGAAAGAAGCCAGTGCTTTCTAAATGCCAGTCTTGGGACAGATGCTGACCTATCATGAAATCTAATCAGTGCTGAGAAAAACAGCAAAAATAAGGTCAATGTGATACGTTTTGAATAAATCTAAATTTATTAAATATTAAGAGCTCTTGTTATTCTGGAATAATTTTCTTTCTGATTGTTGATATGAACACACCCCCGCCTTTTGAGAGATGATGGTAGTCAATGGCAAGATTTTTTACCTCTTTCTTGTCTTCTAATGGCCTTAATTATCATACACACACACACACACACACACACACACATATATATATATATATTTTTTTTTTTTTTAATGTCAAACCTATGTCAGCCACTCAATTAAAAAAAAAATCATTTCAGGGCACCTGGATGGCTCAGTGGATTAAGCGTCTACCTTCCACTCAGATCATGGTTCCAGGGTCCTGGGATCGAGTCCCGCATTAAGCTCCATGTTCCACAGGGAGTCTGCTTCTCCCTCAGCCCCTCCATCCCCGCCCCCCACTTGTGTTCTCTTTCAAATGAATAAATAAAAATCTTTTTAAAATTTTTAAAAATCATATCAGTGTGGGTTTTGATTTGAATCTCCTGATGGCTAATGATGATGAACATTTTTCATGTGTCTGTTAGCCATTTGTATGACTTCTTTGGATAAGTATCTGTTTCATGTCTTCTGCCCATTTTTTGACATGATTATCTGTTTTGTGTGTGTTGAGTTTGAGGAGTTCTTTATATATCCTGGATATCAGCCCTTTTTCTGTAGTGTCATTTGCGAATATCTTCTACCATTCCGTGGGTTGCCTCTTTGTTTTGTTGACTGCTTCCTTTGCTTGCAGAAGCTTTTGATCTTGATGAAGTCCCAAAAGTTCATTTTCGCTTTTGTTTCCTTTGCCTTTGGAGACGTATCTTGAAAGAAGTTGCTGTGGCCAATGTCGAAGAGGTTACTGCCTATGTTCTCCTCTAGGATTTTGATAGATTCCTGCCTCACATTGAGTTCTTTTATCCATTTCGAGTTTATCTTTGTGTATGATGTAAGAGAATGGTTGAGTTTCATTTTTCTATACATAGCTGTCCAATTTTCCCAGCACCATTTATTGAAGAGACTGTCTTTTTTCCACTGGATATTTTTTCCTGCTTTGTCAAAGATTATTTGACCACAGAGTTGAGGGTCCATATCTGGGCTCACTACTCTGTTCCACTGGTCTATGTGTCTGTTTTTGTGCCAATACCATGCTGTCTTGGTGATCGCAGCTTTGTAGTAAAGCTTAAAATCAGGCAATGTGATGCCCCCAGTTTTGCTTTTCTTTTTCAACATTTCCTTAGCAATTCGGGGTCTCTTCTGGTTCCATACAAATTTTAGGATTGTTTGTTCTAGCTCTTTGAAAAATGCTGGTGGAATCTTGATCGGGATGGCATTGAAAGTATAGATTGCTCTAGGCAGTATAGACATTTTAACAATATTTCTTCTTCTGATCCATGAGCATGGAATGGTCTTCCATCTTTTTGTGTCTTCTTCAATTTCTTTCATGAGTGTTCTGTAGTTCCTCGAGTACAGATCCTTTACCTCTTTGGTTAGGTTTATTCCCAGGTATCTTATGGTTCTTGGTGCTATAGTAAATGGAATCAATTCTCTCATTTCCATTTCTATATTTTCATTGTTAGTGTATAAGAAAGCAACTGATTTCTGTACATTGAGTTTGTATCCTGCCATGTTACTGAACTGCTGTATGAGTTCTAGTAGTTTGGGGGTGGAGTCTTTTGGGTTTTCCATATACAGTATCATGTCATCTGCGAAGAGAGAGAGTTTAACTTCTTCTTTGCCCATTTGAGTACCTTTTCTCCTTTTGTTGTCTGATTGCTGTTGCTGGGACTTCCAGTACTATGTTGAACAAGAGTGGTGAGAGTGGGCATCCTTGTCGTGTTACTGATCTCAAAGGTAAGGCTGTCAGCTTTTCCCCATTGAGAATGATATTCACTGTGGGTTTTTCACAGATAGATTTTATGAAGTTGAGGAATGTCCCCTCTATCCCTATACTTTGAATCATTTTAATCAGGAACAGATGCTGTATCTTGTCAAATGCTTTCTCTGCATCAATTGAGAGGACTATGTGGTTCTTCTCTCTTCTCTTATTGATTTGTTCTATTACATTGATGGATTTGTGAATGTTGAACCACCCTTGCATCCCAGCGATAAATCCCACCTGGTCGTGGTGGATGATCTTTTTAATGTACTGTTGGATCCTATTAGCTAGGATCTTGTTGAGAATCTTGGCATCCATATTCATCAGGGATATTGGTCTGAAATTCTCCTTTTTCGTGGGGTCTTTGCCTGGTTTGTGGACCAGGGTAGTGCTGGCTTCATAAAAAGAGTCTGAAAGTTTTCCTTTTGTTTCTATTTTTTGAAACAGCTTCAGGAGAATAGATATTATTTCTTTGAATGTTTGGTAGAATCCTGCAGGGAATCTGTTAGGTCCTGGGCTCTTGTTTTTTTTTTTTTGTTTTGTTTTTTTTTTAAAGATTTTATTTATTTATTTGACAGAGAGATCACAGGCAGGCAGAGAGGCAGGCAGAGAGAGAGGAGGAAGCAGGCTCCCTGCTGAGCAGAGAGCCCGATGCGGGGCTCGATCCCAGGACTCTGAGACCATGACCTGAGCCGAAGGCAGCGGCTTAACCCACTGAGCCACCCAGGCGCCCCCTGGGCTCTTGTTTTTGGGAGGTTTTTGATCACTGCTTCAATCTCATCACTAGATATTGGTCTATTCAGGTTGTCAATTTCTTCCTGATTCAGTTTTGGAAGTTTATAGGTTTTCAGGAAGGCATCCATTTCTTCTAGGTTGCTTAACTTATTGGCATATAACTGTTGACAATATTTTCTGATGATTGTTTCTATTTCCTTGGTGTTAGTTGTGGTCTCTCCCTTTTCATTCATAATTTTATTAATTTGGGTCCTCTCTCTTTTCTTTTGGATTAGTTTGGCCAAAGGTTTATCGATCTTATTGATTCTTTCAAAAACCCAGCTTCTAGTTTCGTTGATGTGTTCTACTATCTCTAGTTTCTATCTCATTGATCTCTGCTCTAATCTTGATTATTTCCCTTCTTGTGTGTGGGGTTGGCTTAATTTGTTATTGATTCTCCAATTTTTTAAGGTGTAAAGAGAGCTGGTGTATTCTGGATTTTTCCATTTTTGGGGGGGAGGCTTGGATGGCTGTGTATTTCCCCTTTAGGATCGCCTTGCTGTATTCCATGGGTTTTGGACAGAAGTGTCTTCATTCTCATTGGTTTCCATGAATTGTTTAAGTTCTTCTTTGATTTCCTCATTGATCCAAACATTCTTAAGCAAGGTCGTCTTTAGCTTCCAAGTGTTTGAATTCCTTCCAAACTTTTTCTTGTGGTTGAGTTCCAGTTTCAAAGCACTGTGGTCTGAGAATATGCAGGGAATAATCTCAGTCTTTTGGTATCAGCTGAGCCCTGATTTGTGACCCAGATAGTAAACAACATGTGTTGGAGAGGATGTGGAGAAAGGGGAACCCTCTTACACTATTGGTAGGGATGCAAGTTGGTGCAGCCACTTTGGAAAACAGTGTGGAGATTCCTTAAGAAATTAAAAATAGAGCTACCCTATGACCCTGCAATTGCACTACTGGGTATTTACCCCAAAGATACTGATGTAGTGAAAAGAAGGGCCATCTGTACCCCAATGTTCATAGCAGCAAAGGCCACAGTCGCCAAACTGTGGAAAGAACAAAGATGCCCTTCAACAGCTGAATGGATAAAGAAGATGTGGTCCAGGGGCGACTGGGTGGCTCAGTGGGTTAAATCCTCTGCCTTCGGCTCAGGTCCTGATCCCAGGGTCCTGGGATTGAGCCCCTCTTCGGGCTCTCTGCTCAGCAAGGAGCCTGCTTCCCTCTCTCTCTGCCTGCCTCTCTGCCTACTTGTGATCTCTCCCTCTCTGTCAAATAAATAAATAAAAAGAATGTTGAACCACCCTTGCATCCCAGGGATAAATAAATAAAAAGAATAAAAAATAAAATAAATAAATAATAAAATAAATAATAAATAAATAAATAAAATTTAAAATGAATAAATAAATAAATATTTATAATATAAAATAATATAAATGATAAATAAAATAAACAAACAAATAAAATAAAAATAATAAATAAATAAATAAATAAAAGAAGATATGGTGCATATATACAATGGAGTATTGTACCTCCATCAGAATGGATAAATACCCAACTTTTTTTATCAGCATGGACAGGACTAGAATAGTTTATGCTGAGTGAAATAAGTCAAGCAGAGAGAGTCAATTATCATATGGTTACACTTATTTGTGGAGCATAAGGAATAACACAAGGACGTTGGGAGATGGAGAGAAGTGGGTTGGGGGAAATCGGAGGGGGAGACGAAACATGGGGGACTGTGGACTCTGAGAAACAAACTGAGGGTTTTGGAGGGGGGTGGTTGGGTGAGCCCAGTGGTGGGTATTATGGAGGGCACGTATTGCATGGAGCACTAGGTGTGGTACATAAACAATGATTTCTGGAACACTGAAAAGAAATAAAATAAAATGAAATGAAAAAAAAATCATATCAGTTGGTGATCTCAAAATGTGGGCACACCTGAAATGAAGCAATTTTTATTATGGACTTATCAAACTCCTTCCAAGAAGGAAGAAGTAAACTAATTTTTTTTTTTCTTTTTGACCAGACTTGAATAAAAAGAAGCAATCACAGACTGCCCAGGGCAGGAAGGAAAGTGGCTCTTTGGATTTAAAATACTTTTGTGGGGGCGCCTGGGTGGCTCAGTGGGTTAAATCCTCTGCCTTCGGCTCAGGTCCTGATCCCAGGGTCCTGGGATCGAGCCCCGCGTCGGGCTCTCTGCTCCGCAGGGAGCCTGCTTCCTCCCCTCTCTCTCTCTCTGCCTGCCTCTCTGCCTACTTGTGATCTCTCTGTCAAATAAATAAAATCTTAAAAAAAAAAAAAAGACTAAAATACTTTTGTGTATTGAGATGCTATGTTGGGTTAATGGACTTAATTACACCTGGATTAAGCTTAATTAAATGATTAATAAAAGTGAAGCAAAGAGTCAAATAAGATCAAATTTAAAGTTTACCCTGTTCTCGCCCGTAATTGGCAGATGTTTTTATTCTTTCTGGTTTTCTGTCCATTCAGTGTAAAGACATGACTTTCCGAAGACGGAGTTGTTTATTATCAAGCCTGTCTGGAGCACGAACCTTGACTCAATGCCTGTGTGAACCCCAAAGCTTATGAATGCTATTCTTGTTTGGAGAATCACACAGAGGTGAAGACATAAACTTTCTCCGCCACCACCCCCACCTTCTCTCTGTGTCTCCACCCCCTCCTCTGGAGGGTCTGCTTTTTCTGCAGGTACTTATTTGTAACATAAAAATTACTCTTCTATTTCTGTTTTCTGCACCACACGAAGTTTGGTTTCTTCAGCGCTCTCAGTCACAGAACGTGAGGGACTATAGTTCATCCACAGTCATCAAGGTTAACAACCTCTTAGGCCAGGTTGTCCTGAAGGTGGCAAGTGGCACTGGGGTTGGGGAATGGGGAGCCCGGTCAGTGGCAGTTGGTCAAAATATAGCTTCTTGGCTGAATCAGTCTGAGCCCCTCCTGGTGGCAGAGCTGTGGTCGGTGAGTCCCGGGCACAGGTGCCAAAGCCGGATGGGCCTCACAGCCAGGATGACAGACACTAAAGGATGGCAGGCAGCCAGGAACTCAGAACAAGAAATGGGCACATCTGGGGTGACCTGAATTCCCTAGAGAAAAGTCTCCTGAGCCATGACTCACCTGACAAGGAAGTCACGTTACCGGTAACATCAAGGAGCCTCAGATGCCACCAAGAAACAACATAAACGCAACTGATAAATTTCAGTTGTAAATACAGAAAGTATACCATATGATAATATAGTTTATGGAGTGACAGATGCAAACACCACAGCTGGATGTCCCGACATCCTCAGGAATAGGAACGTGCACATCCCCAGGCCCATTGGGGTTTGATGCCATTATAATTACACGGAATGTTACAGCAGTCATTCTCCATGTACACAATGGACAAGGAATGCTTTCCAAATTGCAACTGCATTTTAGAGATAGAAAAAAATGAAAAATAGCTGAGTCACTTAATTACCAGCCCAGGGAAGGTCTTTACCTGTTTTTATTTATACCCCTTCCCTTTTCTAAAAGTGTTAGAACTTTTTTAAAAAAGGAACAAGGGCAACAAAATTAATAAAGGAATTTAAAAGAGAGAAATGGATGTCAGAAAATAAGCAGGTTGCATGTTTGCTGCTGGGACTGAGTCCAAAACCGGGCTCCACATTTCCTGGCCTCCATGACACAGACAGAAACACAACCAGGCAGATAGTATACATTATCTGAGAGGAGAACTCATCAGTTCCTTATGGGAAGAGGAGGTTCCTGATTCCCAACACAGATGAGAATTCCCAGGTTAAGTCTGCTTAAGGCAGTGAGTGAGAGGTGGGGACACCCTTTCCTCTCTGCCCATAACCCCCAGAAGGCTAGGGGGCTGGGGAAAACTTCCAGCATTCTCTATGGCTAGTTTCAGACCGTAACTCTCTCTTTTAAAGCCTTAACCTCTTTCAAGGCCTCCACCAACTGACTGCCTCCTCCAGCCTTCTCTGCCTACCTGCCTCCCGACACCCCCATCTCAGTGAAGATGTTGGCACCTGGTTCATCGTAGGTAGTTCTCTCTGTTAAATTCTACCTTCATGAAAACCAGCTTCAATCCCCAAGTAAATCAATTCTCCACTCCTCAGCTTGTGTTTCTCTCACCTCCTTGGCTGATGTGACCTCTTAAATGCTTCCAAAACACACTCCCTCCCCACCATACGCCCCGCCACTTTATGACTGCTAACATATCTACCTTCCAATCTCATCTTCCCAGGGCACTTGGAAAGCTGACCATGTCCCTCTTTAAAGCCCCTTAATGGCTCCCTGACACCCACAGTGTAGCCTCCAACATTTTTAGGCAAGAAGAGTCTCTTTTAAGATTAATAAATAAATAAATAAATAAATAAATATTTACCAGAGCTCCGCATGATAGGGAGTGTACTTTAATATCCATTTAATGAGAAATACATAATGACTATGAAGTCAATGGTGTGCCTAAGTGAAATTGATCTTTGTTACATGAAAGAGTAATTTGGAGAAACTGTCATGTAGATCTAGAACGACTATATGTTGCGTGGTAGGCTTGCACGTGTTGACCAAAGTTGGGGGGCAGGGGCCTACAGTGATCTCCAGAATGGAGTCCATGCACGGACACCAAATTGCTTCTGATCCCCACCTGTCTCCCATTGTTCCCTCTTCCTGACTTCCTATTCAAGCAACATGAAGCTACTGTACTCCCGCCAACACACGCATGCACATGCAGCCTGCTGGCAATTCACTGGTACTTAACAAACACCTTTCAAAAGAATGTTGTAGAAGATCCTTAATTCCACTCTGTAGCAAAACTTGATGTGCACTTCATAAGGCTACTCATAACGATCTTTGAGAAAAGTTGAATGCATTCCATGAGCACGATTCGGTGATTGCATAAGTCACTATGGTCCCACTAATTTGCAGTCAGACTCGAACCATAACTAATCTAAGACTTAAGGTCTACTCTCTCTGATTTGCATTTGTCTCTTCTAGCCTCTTGCTGGGGGCTAGAAAATAAGCAATTCAAGGTCATGCTCTCTACAGGAAAAGAGATAAATGAGAGAAAGACCACAAATAGTGGTTTGGGCCTGCAAAGCCCATGAGCTTTGGAAGCAACCACCCAAAGAGTGAGGTCACCTTTGGCTCTTAGCCCTGTGGGATGGGGGAAGGGGAGCCGGAGCCCTGGGTTTTCAGTTGGTTCATTCAAAACACCGGAAGCAAGCACTCACCGTAGTCACTAATGCCACCTGCCAGTTCTCCAGCTGCCATTCACAGCGGATGACAGGAGACACAACTGCTATTAACATGATCTCCATGGCCTCAACAACCTTAAAGAAAGTGGGAAAACACTGTGTCTTAGTGCTGGTCTCTCATCAGTTCTTCCCATGCGTGCCTGCCATCATCCTTTTAATCCTAATCTCCTCCTTCCCCTCCCCCATTGAGGGAGCACCTATAGTGTACCCACTCAACACTGCTAGTTGGGTAAAGAAGTGTAGTAAAACTTTGGGTTTCATGGATTCAACGTTCATGGTTTGAAGAATTTGAGAGGATTCCTACAGATGTATGACATCTATTTTTTTGCGATGTTGCTGACCCATGCATTTGCCCTATAGCTCTATGACAGTATTTTGTGTTTGTGTATGTTGGGGGAGTCACTTAGGCAGTGGGTGACATGACTAACCACCAGCACCCACATCAACCTGGCTCTGTTGCTTCATACTCATTACTGTCAAGGTCTTAGGGCATAGCCTTTGCAAATGGGATTTGTGAAATAGTCTCCGATCTCAAGAAGCTGAGCTGGAAGGCAAGCTTCATGAAAACTAGAAGAGAGGAAACAAACAAGTACAAAACAATGAGTTCATCGCCAGGAAACAAGGTCTATTTGGCAAACCTAGTGTAAGCTGTGCTACTAAATATTTCTTTCAATAGGAAGTTTGAATATCATCCTCTACCCTATCTTACAACCCATTGTAGCTTAAGTTTATCTCCCAGGGAAAGGAAGTAGTAGATGCTAGAAAATAACTGATATTTGTATGGGTTACATATTATAGTACTATCTACAGATTTATAATTCAAAGGTCTGGGATGAAAAAAGTATAGTGGTGTTAGCTACTATTTGGGAATTGGAAAGTATCACAAAGGCTTGTCTCCTCTTGGAAAGTACTTTAGTCATGTTTAGAGTACAGATAGCTAGTATGCTTTAGCCCAAAAAGTATAATAAATAAGAGACAGTGTGACATCAGAAGGATGTCTCAGTAATATAGAGCAGTTGGGTCAATATTAACCAGGACTCTACTCCTCTAAGTGGTCTTAGGAGGAAATAAGCCAGTAAGGGATAAGACTCTGCCCCACTCTGATATAATAACTTAAGGGGAGAAAGACACAGAGGAGCAGCAGTGTATAAGATTTTAGAGCCCTCAGAGAACATTAGAATTCAGGATGCCTGGTCACAGACTGAGGCTGCTTTGCTGCTGTGATGTTATTACATACACCTTGGTCACATGAGGCCCTGAAACCCAACTACTGTTCTGACTGCCCCTAACCAAGAACCTTCACAGACCATGGCCAGGAGGAGCCATGTCCCTACTGTCAACACACCTATTCTGATGAGAAGATCCATCCAATGCAGACCATCCTAAAGCCAGGGGAGGGATTTGGTTACCATACCCAATTAAATAGTTCTGGAGGTAGGTAGAGGCAGGGAGGAGGAGGTCTGGTAAATAACCCTTCCTACCTGATGGATTGGGAAGAAGTGAAGCAGCTTAAAAAACACTTGGAGAAGATCAGAAGATATTTCACAACAACACCAAGTATAAATGTGGAATAGACATACAGTCTCCATGGATGTGGGTCTGGAGATGGACATCAGGAGTTGCCTATACAGAGTTGATACCTACCCTTTGGTAAGAGGGTACAGCGGCACAATCTTTCTAACACAGATCATAACTAATAAAGTTACACTCCCTTTGTATAAGGTGATTTGGTTAATTTGGGAAGGTAAACAAAAAAAAAATTCTACATATTCTTTTCTCTTGCCAGAGGGCTGTAAAGGAAGAAAAACAGAGTTCCCAACATATTTGAAGGTAAAAGATGCAGAGAGTTGAACAGTGTTTAAGTGAAGGGGACCACATAACAAAACCAAACTGGAAACCAAATATGTAAAACAGAAGTGGAGATGTTTTGGTTCAAAGTAGAGGAAAGTTCCGATAAAACCCTCCGCAATCCCCAATCACACCCACTTGCCCCTTGAAATATTGAATCTTAACATTTTGGAGACTAGGTAAGACATTACTTCCTAGATGAAGAAATGTTCTAAATTGAACTGTTGATTATTATAAAATCAGGACCAGGATGCATCTTGCCTTTCTCTCCATTACTGGACTACCTCCATAGAGCACAAGGCTTTGGAGCACTGCTTCAGAACTTGCCAAGTGGTCCCTCCAGCTCACATCACTCTTTGTCTCATACTATTTAGCTGAGGGCGAGGGTCAAGGCTCTCTATTATTTACTCATTAGTGTCCTATTGGCTATCTTTACGTCCCGCCTTAAACCATTGTCATATTGACCACTTCTCTCAGATTTTCCCTTCTGTCTCATTATCAATATCATATTCCTAACATATTCTCACTGCACCTACAACAAAAGGAAGAAGCAGTAGTGGTCTCTTGGGACAGACCCACAGTTGGTCAAAGCCCTGGGATTGAGCTATCACTCTTCTTTTCTCAAAATAGCTGGTGGTAAATAGCAAACCCTCATAGGTGCCTCCTAAAGGTTCTGGAAATCTGTAATGACAACAGGTGTCCCGTGCAATTCTTATACACAAAATATTTGAGGACCAAGTGTTTAATTTTACTTAGAATGATACTAGTTTTCTCCTCCCTTCCCAGAGAAGGAAGAGATTTAAACCGTTTTTTTTTAATGAATATTGAATTCCCAGAACATAAAGACACAGATATGTATTTGCTACTAACCAAACACCTGGCAAAGGTAGATGAAAATTATTTTTGAATTAACCCCCCTCACAGGGGTTAATTCACTTTCACTCCCTTTCACTCCCTTCCCTGAATGGACAGCCCAGAGCTGGAGGTCAGTGGAAGACTCTACATGTCCAATGATGAATTTGATTTAGAGATTCAAATGATCTCCAAAGAGAACTCACCCCCGTGCTGCCCATGATCAGAAAGAGGGCAATGTGGAAACGTCCAAATCCAATGGTCTCCACGGCATCTTCCACGGTGAATGTCTTTGACTCTAACAAGGAAGGGCAGAGTGAGAGGAAAAGCCTCTGTGGGAAGGGAATATATGTGGATGATTGCTCACTAAAAATGAGGAGGAAGATGTTGGGAAACCAATTCATTATTGTAAAAATTAGTAAATACAGGAGGAAATTAAGCAGCAGCTAGAGGGTCCGAGACATCTGTGGTCATCTTACCTTTTGGCTGGGACTCTGGGGTCTCCAGGCTCAACTTCCGGAGGCTAATGACAGTGACCGGCTCGGTTTGCTTGGTTGCCATCTTCTAAATGGTCCCAATTCTTCACACGGCTTCCCTAATGGAAGCGGGAGAGGGAAGAAAAAATATATATAAAAGAGTGCTCATTTTCCTTTCATCTTCACAGAAAGTCTGTGAGGTCAGTATTCTAATTCATCACCATCTTATATATAAGGAACATGAGACTTGGAGAGGTCAAATGGCCAATGAGATGATGGGGTCCCATTGACTAGTAATCAACCCTTTGTCATGGGCCCAGTGAGTTCTGGACCATTTGGCCAATAGCATCCTCTAACTGGGAGTGAAGATGACCTTTGCTACAGACAAATAATCACAGTAGCCAGTGCTTCACGTTCCTGTGGGTCATGAGGTTTATAGTGTGTTTCCATGTAACATTTTCATTTCATCTGACAGAAACCCAGGAGCACTTCTTTTTATTGGCTCCCTTCCCCTTCATGCATTTAGCCTGAAGGATTCTAAACTCAAGAAATCAAAAGCAAAATAAAATGAAGAAAGCGGAGTATCAACTTAGTGAAGAAGTTTTTTTCCAAATGACTTGAAGACACGGTCATTTAACTCTACACCCCTAGCAGGATGAATAGAAATCATAACCTATTCTCAGTAATTAGATTTTTAGTATTAATATTGGTATCATTGTTTTGATACTAGTACATACTGTAGGATAAAGCAAGTAGCAATTATATTAATATGGTTAGGAATCAAGCTTTTGGATGGGTAAAAGAGGAAAAAGATACAAAAATCAGAGAAGTTATATAAAAATCTTACAATCCTAACTTTGAATTGGAAATATCACTATGAATTCACTATGTATTTCATATATGCATATCCTAACATTATCCACTGGAAGAGTCTGGGAAAAAATGAATAATGAGCACTCATAGAGCCCAGATTGTTTTCTTTCCTATTTCCCATTAAAAGAAACCCTGGTGCCTTAAATAAATGGCTAATTTTGGATCTGGGACAGGAAATGTGTAAATTGAGCCTGGAACATCTTGTCATACCAGATAGCAAAGGAAGATATCAAACACCTCTGGGGTTGTGACAAAAGATTACAAGATTCAACTTGAAAAGGCTCCCATCCATCAAAGATGGGACCATGTAAGCATCAAGAAGAATAATGACTGCAAGAATTGAAACACATCAAAGATATCAAAACCCATTGTTCATAGCAACACTGAAATGAAAATCTCACTGATCATCTTTGGAGAATACTAAGAAACCAACTCTTTATTCTGAAAACTAGTAAATATCTTGTCTTTCTCACAAAAATTCTTTGTACTTCAGGGTAACCAAACAGTTGGGAAAGAAAATTGTTTTTCTTAATTTCAGCTAATACATGCAGGAAAAAAAGGAAGAATGGAATTAAATTATCATGACTTCGCAACCTGATGAAATAATGGATCTAGGCAATGATTACCAATGGCTGATAAACTACTAGGTGGAAGGCTGATGAAGAAATGGGTAAGAGTTGGGTAAGGCTGATAATACCTGTAGGCATCGACAAATCTTATGCCACCAAAAGAGAGACCATCAGATGTCATGTGGTCCTGATGAGCAGCAATAAGAATGGGAGTATATATCACCTGTGATGCATTCTCTTGAGATTTAAGTTCAAGCAGAATCTAGTCCTCTAGCTCTACCAATTTATACAGGAGATGAAGAAGAAACTCATTAAACTGTACCATGTGGCTGCAATAAGAAAAAAACCACAATGTGGGAAGTTGTATAAGATAAATGACCCAATGTCTTCAATGAATAAATGGCAAGATGAAAAGAGGAAAAGGAACTTACAGTTGAAAGAAAAAGAGACCAATCAGCCAAATAAATGAGTTGATCTTATTTGGATCCCCATTCAAATAAACCAACTGTAAAACAACAACAGCCAAGGAAATGAGATGAAAAAGAGATGAGAGGAAAGTCAAGGAAACGTAAACAAGTGCAGAAGTTTAATGATAGTAAGAGATTTCTGATGACATCATTAGGTGTGACAATGATATGACTATATAGTAGAGATATATACTAAAAAACTTAAGAGATGAAATGATGTCTGGGATTCATTTTAAAATAATTCAACGGGAGGGCGTCTGTATGCCTCAGTCAGTTGAGTGTCTGACTCTTGATTTTGGCTCAGGTCATGATCTCAGTATTGTGGGATGCAGCCCTGCAGCCCCGCCCCCCCATGCTCAGTGGGGGTCTCCTGAAGATTCTTTCTCTCCCCCTCCCTCTGCTTCTCTTCCCACCCCTCTTCAAATGGACAAATAAATAAATTTTTTAAAACAAATCAATGGTAGTGTGGAATATGATGCATAAGAAATAGATGGGCATATATAGAATAAGGAATGGCCATATGTTGAAAATTATTGAGAATGATGGGTGCATTTGGGATTCATTTTACCATCTGCTTTTGAAGATGTGTAACATTTTTCAAAATTGGTAGTTCAAAAAATGAGGTTCTGAGATTTTAAAATAACTTTTCCAATTTCAGACCACTAGTAAATAGCAGAATCAGAACTCAAACAGAGGCATTTTATTCCCAGAATATAGAGATAGCCACAAACCAGTCTGTAGCAGCATGTCAAGGTCATTAATGTTTGCTAAGGGCCAGCTCTGTATCTTGTATTGTGTGGGCTCCTGTGAAGACTTGGAAGGAACGTCTGACATGTTCTCTGCCCTAAGGAGTTTTTATTCTAGTTGGGGACACAAAAGATACACATCAAAACAACTCTTCTGTAATGTTGATATTGTTTTCTTAAAACACTGTCACAGAGGCACAAATATTCCCAGATAAGAGATAGATCAATAATGCTCAGAAGTAAGTCCATGAAATCCTCCTTCCCAAGGTAGAACATGAAAAGTACAAAAAGCTGTCATTTTCCCAGAGTAGAAAAAGTGAAAAATAATTGGCCTCTCAGCCCATCTGAGAGCCTGAAAATCTTGACGACAGACTGCTCTAAAACCACCACTCCCTTTCCAGACATTGTCCAAACACCCCGTGGAAAGGTGTTCTTTATCTGGTAACTTTTTAAATGAAATAATTAGCAGAAAAATCCCCTTCTTTTGATTATACAAAGGACTTCTAGACACATTAAAAATTGGCTATGACAGGGGTGCCTGGGTGGCTCAGTCAGTTAAGCATCTGACTCAATTTCTGCTCAGGTCCTGATCGCAGAGTCCTTGAGATCGAGCCCCGTGTCAGGCTCCCTGTTCAGTGGGGAGTCTGCTGGAGATTCTCTCTCTCCCTCTCCTTCTGCCCTTTTCCCCACACGTGCTCTTTCTCTCTAAAGTAAATAAATAAATCTTTTAAAAAAATCTTGGCTGTGACCATCCCATTTCGAGATAGGAAGATGAACTAGTAACGTATTTAACTTCATCAAATTTTGAAAACAATACCATTTGTGAGAATTAGGTAATGGTGAGGATTGTACAACCTGAAATTATACTAAATTATACTAAGATTCCCCAGATTACATATTTTAAAAATAGTAAATTTCATTGCATGTAAATTACATCTTTTTTCCCCCCTAAAAAGTAGTAATGCAAATCACGGCAGCAAACTTAACAACTGAAAGTGAGTCTGGCCATTTAGAGTCTTAGAGAGTAAGACCATTTAGTGGGGTGGGAAAATAAGTTTTTCAATCCCAGTACGTTCATCTCGAGTTCAGTTACAAATAAAATGCTTAACAATAAACTCAATCCTCTATCTTTAATCAACACTTCATCTCTCCTACAGTCAAGTTTTACAACTTCTCCTAGCAATCAAAACATGTTTACAATTTTAACAATCATCAAGCCTTACGTTTAGAAGAGTAATAAAACAACCTCCAGCAGTTCTCCTTTTGGTAGTGAGTGGCAAAAAAAAAAAAAACCAACAACAAGAAATGTGCCATTTACTATTGAGCAGAGCAAGTTTTAATTCTTATGTTTTAACCCGATTATGTAGTTCCATGGATCATAAATATCCTACATTCCTCCCTTCTCTTATCAGCAAATACAAGCAATACATCACAAAGGACCTGGCAGAAGGTGTTAGGTCCAAGATAATTACTTCTCAGCTTTCTTGAATGAAAGCTGATCCCAGTAAGGGAGATTCACATTTGTGAGTTCATATTTTTTTTAAAGTATTTTTAAGTAATCTCTACACCCAGCATGGGGCTCTCATTTACAACCCTGAGATCAAGAGTCACATGCTCTTCCTTTTGATCATGACACTGGACATCAAAAAATAAATATAATCTTCACATATAACGTTTGGCCCCAAGTGAGCGATATGGACATGGTCATTAAAAAAAGACGGCTTTTAGAGTCAACATTTGAATAAAATACATAGACTTGATTGTGCTTTCAGAACTGACTGGAAATGTTGATTTCCTCAAGAATGAGTACAATCATCCATGCCAAACAGGAGCTGCGAGTCAGGAAGGATGGAGGGATGGGCAGGCATTCCACCTCAAAGATCCGCCTAAGAACCAGAGCTATAAATATAACATTTATAACCACAAAAATATAAGAGAGTAACAAAAATAAGAGCAAAACAAAACAAAACAAAACCAAGAACAACCCAATAGTTTCTGTAAGATGAAAATCCATTGCCTAAAACTGACCATTTTGTCATTTACATAGATACATGAAAATTCCATGACCGTGACCACCTACACGGCAAAAGGAATGAGAGCTTGGGATGTGGGCAAACGGGAATGAAAGAACACATGCATATGTAAATGTACACATGAGAGGACGATATGCATGCCAGGTGCTACAGTGCTCCATGGGAGCTGCTGAGGGCTGACGGCACACATCTCTTCCCACCTCTGTATTCAATAACATCACGTTGGTAATTTAAAAGCAGCCGTGGTGGGAACAGTTACACTAGGGAAATCAGCAAACACTATACACATCAAGGTACCATCCCCGCCCATTATTAAACGCACCACACCCCAAAGCCCCTATTCTTCCTTCCTTACCAGTGACTCTCGACCTTGAGAAGGAGGTTGTATGTGATGTGG